AACGGAGGAAGTATTTCGATATCTAGGAGATTTCATAATCTAATAATAAGCATTTAACGTTAAAATTGTTACAAAAAAAAAAAAAAAATCGGTTGTATAAAGTTCTCTTTGTTCTTGTAAAAAGGTATCAAAGTAATGTGTGTAGTCCAGTCAACTTTTGGATTAACTTGTTACAGAAATAATCTTCACAAAATAAAAATTTGAACAAAAAATCACAATGGCTAAATAATCTGAAATTTCTTATTTTGAGATTTGTTACGAAATAGAATTATTTTTATACACTCGCAAGTTATATAACTAAATTATTTACTCTCTCTGTTTCAGAAAGAGTGTCATTTTGACATTTTTCACATATATTAAGAAACTTAAAAAAAAATCTTTTCTGTTCTTCATAAATACACTAAACAATTTTCTTTTTCTAATTAATACACTAAAATAACAAGGTTAGAATTAGATTTTTAATTAAAAATTTGCATTGGAAATACAAAACGACATTTTTTGTGAAACAAAAATAATACACTAAAACAACACTCTTTATGAAACGGAAGGAGTATATAACTAAATCATTGAATGTTCTCATTACACCAAATCCATCCATGTTGTTGAGCCATATGTTGTCTAAGCTCTCTACAAGTTATCTACTTAAAACTTTTGTTTTCCCCGTTTTTATATGCCAACTAACCAATTTGGATACTTGTGTATAACTTTCAGAAAGATAATAAAAGCATGTGAGTTAAAAATTAATAAATCCCATTGTTCCAAAGACACTCGTGGGACAAAAGCTGTTGAACAACATCTAGTTACAGAAAAAAGGAATGATGGATCTTGGGACTAGGGTTTTTACATTAATACACCAATACTAATATAAAATCAATTAAGATTAATAATAATAGTATTCATTTATTATCTGCCAGTTTCTTGTTTGCCAATGGTTTAATGGTGCGTACTATATGCATACATATGAATCTGACCCTAAGATTTTAGAGGTAAAGAGATTAGGAGACAATCTGATCAGAACAAATAAGTACTGATCTTACTCTCTGAGTTTGGCAGATCATTATGCTCCTCTGAGTATTATTTTCCACTTTTATATGATGTTTTTATTTTAAAAGATAACTGCAACTTTGAATTGTCACAGCAGATCAATTACGAAATTATAACAGATCAATACTATTTCGATTCATTCATATAAAAAAATACAATAGCCAATGGACAGTCCAATAAATATATTAAAAAAAATAGTTAAGATACAGTTAAATATTCTAACCACAATCTTAATTAATACTGATAAATAATTTCGTTCTAAGACGACAATCTTTACATTCAAACTCTTAGTACAAATAATATTATAATAATGAGTTGTAATCAGCACCATAATCAATGTGTTAGTATGTATAGATTAGGACCCATCTCTAGTGTAATTACTCTCAAACAGTAAGCTTGGGCCATCTTCTCAATAGTCTATGCAAAACGTGCCACCTCTGTTTGATAACAATGATATTTACATATTTCACACTAACTGACAAATGGTGGAATGGAAAATTAGTTAAGTGACTTCTCTCAAACGTTTAACAATGAGAAGTTTAATTAAAAATGCCTCCGATTAGTTTAAAATCTTAATCCCATATGTAGACGTGTTGTGTGAGGACTCTTGTGACAATTCTCTTAAGTATATAAAATTTTAACCGTGTATTAGAAAATAATGTCGAATCCGAAATGATACCAATATATTCCAATAATTCAAAAGTTTCAACTTTAATCGGAAATCACAAAATCATGTAACTCTTATGGGTGAAATCAGTTGAATCTCTTTCAATTGCTTACACTTTCAATAACATATCATGTTTTTCGTCAGATGTGAGGTATTAGTTGCAAATGTTTTAATAAGTTCTAAATTACAAGCCCGTATATGTAGATGTGGTTTGACAAGTTTTATATTATATAAACCGCACATAATCAGAGGAATAAGTAGTGTTCCGGATTGGTAGTCATTGCTCTTCGTAATTCAAATGTGTTATTTTTAATCCCAAATCACTCGAACGTAAACTTGAACTCCCTTAAGTTACAATTCACTTAGATGAACACAAATTTCTCTTCGTTTAAATCGGAGTTTTGGCTTTACATTTGTCAAATTATCATTTATATTTACATTTCTTTCCCATTTTGATATTTTGCGAGTAGTATTACTCAGCGTGTGGATGCATTTAATGATGTTTGGCTATATTTTTATAAGAAGCTAAAATAAAGCAATAATATAAAGAAAAAGTTTTATTTATAAATGTAGATAGTCAAATCAGAGAGTAATAAGTATGTACCGCATGGGTGCGCAGGTCCACATCATAGGGGGCAAAATGATGAGAATGATCTTTTCTCATGTCCCAAAAGGTCACTCACTTTTAACGGGATTTGTTTTCTAACCTCTATCGGAGTATGACATTTCTTATATACATATACAGGAGTATATATATATTAAATATAAAGGAATTTAATTTCTCTTTTTTTCTTTTACAAACGTGGAAGATTGATGATTAGTAGAACTCATAATTTGGTTTAGAATTCTTTTTAGCGTTGATAAACGATTCTTAACTGAATAAAAAATATAGTATGCAGAATTAGTAAGTTTTCTCTTATGTATTGAAAATAGGTTAATGAAGGATCCGTTTTTCAAGGAAAAACAATTGATTGATTGAAATTGGAGTTTTGGTATTTCAACACACTCTCTCTTTCTTTGTCGTTACAAAATCTCCTTTTTGTCGACTCACCATTAAACTCCCTCTTTCAAAATCTATCGAATCACGTTTTGATTGGTTACACTATACTCTTGTCATTTATACCTAAATTTTTTAATGGAGTAATAAAATATCCAACAGTTACATTTTCATACCTACTGTGATGGGTTTAGTGTGTTTTGCAAAACTAACTCCATTTTAACCACACAAAATTATACTAACTTATACTCTCTCCGTTCCAGAATGTATGATATTTTAGATGTTTTACATATATTAAAAAATAATGATTATTTACTTTTTTAAAATACTTTTTGTGTGTTTATTAATTTAATACTAATTTTTTATATTTTTTTACCTAAAAAATTGTCTTTGAAACAAAAATATATTAAATATAATATAGAAAATTAATCTTTATGGAATAAAATAAAAAACTCAAAACATCATACAATATGGAATAGAGAGAGTAAGATAGTTGGTCACAGTTTGATTATAAACATTTGGTTTTTTCACATATATGTCTACTCCTATGCGAATTAGAGGTTGACACTGTGTTCTAAAAATATAAATATTGTTAGAGAAAAGAAAATAGGTCATATACATATAAAGGAAATTAACTCCGAACACTAGCCAATGTAGTAGTATAATTGATTTCGTGACATTGGAAATCACAAAAGACATATGCGTATGAGTGAACTCGAAACCCAAAGTCTTTGGTTCCCCAAAATTTGAAGAATGTCTCAATGATCAGTTTTTTCAATTCCAACTAACTTCCCTGATGGTCTCGACTTACCATAGTGAAATAGTAGTATTTGTTTTTTGTTAAAATTGTGAAATAATGAATACAACAGTTATTGTTATATTTATTAATCCAAACCTTCAACAGTCACAATCTTATCGTATACTTCATTAACGTTTTTTTTTTTTTAATAAAAAGGGCTATATTCATTAACGTTTTGTGGATGATAAACGCATTTCGAGATTAATTTTTTGTTTTTTTTTATAAAATCGAAACCCGAAGATGATGCAAAATGCTTTATGAGACGGTCGATCTGTTAACATCACTATAGGCTAGTTGAATGATCACAGGAATTGCAATTACCACATTTTCCGTAAACGCAGACGCAGCAACTACGACGCCATTTCAAAACTTCGATAAAACAATTAACAGACGTTTTGGCTAAAGCTTTTAAAGATTGCATATACACTTGTAATTTTGCATGGTTCTAATGGATTGTATCATTGGAACGTGAAGTAACGGAATTTATATATGGTATGCTTATATCACGTCAGAAGCAATAAGTAAATAAAAAGCAAGTTTCTGATTCATGAAATACATCTGCCATAACATACGTGTAGACAAACCTGAAAAGTCCTCTCTTCGTACAAATACAATAATACAGACACGTGTCAGATATACACTGCAGTGTTGCTTCGCATATCTTTTGTTCTATACTTTTTCTCTACTTTCAAAAATCATTAATTTTGTTCTCGATATTGACGATTTTACATGTTCAAGGATATAATAACATTAAACAAAAGCATACTCCTACTTTTTGATAACTATTTTAATTGGTAGTCTTTTTTTTTTTTTTTGTCAAACAATTGGTAGTCTTAAAATAACGGATTTACCGTTTAAAAGAGTACTATAATCATGTCAAAAATAATGTAAATGTGTTTAGCATGCATGTGTGAAAAGTGAAAACGTTGTTGGTCTGTTAAAATCATTTAAAAAATCAATAACAATGTGGATTTAATCTGTCCATTTGCATCAAGTATCACCTAACAACACCACTAATTGGAAATAAAAAAAATACACTAATGTTTTAGACAAAAAATATTTAAACATCTTCCTCCATCATTTCTATCTCTCTTTTTTTTTTAAACACATACGAAATAGATACTAAAAGTCTAAACACTAGGAGTAATTTTATTTAAACAAATCTCGGTTTACATAAGAATGCCTAAAACATTTCTAAAGTACCCGTCAATATAAAGGAAGCATGCATTATCAATATTCAATACATCAGTATAGTTAATCAAATTAATTTTAAGTTCAACTCTATCACACTATTTATTTGATTACATTGTGTTACATGCAATAGATGATGCTTGTATACTCTTTACAAAACTGAACAAATTTTTGGACCTATAAATACACAGAAGAAGCTCTATCTCTGTCAAAGTACCAACAACCAATCTTTCACATCTCTCCAATTACTTTTGTACTTCCACACACAAAACAAAAAAAACCCTAAAACAAAAAACAAAAAAATGGAAGAAGCTCTAAGAAAGTTCATCGGATCTACACACTCATCCACAGCCGATTACGAAACCGACCCGAATCCTTTCGAGAAAAACTTCACTAACACAAAACCCTCACCGGTTAACCGCAAACCGACTTCAAAAGAGACCACAGTCACCGTCGCCGGAGTTGGAAGCGGCACGACTAGGTACCGCGGGGTTCGCCGGAGGCCGTGGGGACGATATGCGGCAGAGATACGTGATCCGACGTCGAAGGAGAGACGGTGGCTCGGAACATTCGACACGGCGGAGCAAGCAGCTTGTGCTTACGATTGTGCAGCTCGTGCCTTTCGTGGGTCTAAGGCTCGTACAAACTTTACTTACCCGACGGATGTTACGGTTCACGAGCCTAGATACTCCTTTTTCTCAAAGAAATCTTCGCCGTCCGTTCGTTCTCCTAGCCCTCTTGCTGTTCCGTTGGATCACACTACTCAGGAGTTTTACGGTACACCGGCACCGCAGAGGAGTAATACACAGCCTCTCTTCTTACGCGACGCCCCGTGCTCCTCTCGCAAAACGGTGCCGTTCAACTCTTTCAACGGTTCATCTTCTTCGTACACCCAACCTACAACGGCTTGCATTTCCTCTTCCGCTGACGAAAACTACACGGAGTTTTTCCCGCAAGAATCTTCTGATACTGGTCTCTTGCAAGAGGTCGTTCAAGAGTTCTTGAAGAAAAATCGTAGCCGTCCTCCGAAGCCGCCGCCATCACCACCACCACAGTCTCTGACATCACCGTTCTCCGGAGACTTCTCTGCGCTTTCCATTGTCCCTGAAAATATCTTCCAACAGGCGGCGGAGCCTGTAACGTCGAAATTAGATCTCTACGGAAATTTTCAAGCCGGTGCCTCTGGTTATTTCGACGGCGTGAGCGCCGCCGCAGATAGTAGTTTCACGTACGGATCAGACGAGTGGGGCTATCAGGACATGTTGATGTACGGTGGTCAGTTGGGATGTACTTGCCGAAAATCGTGGGCCTAGCTTGAAATACACCATGATTATGTTTTGGGTTATTATCTTATCTATAGTTTATAATTTTGAACTTTTTATTATTATGCTGGATATTAACTAAGATAAACTAGTTAACTAGCTGTAGATTTTAAGAAGGTTTCGATTTGAAGTTTGGGTTTAGGGATTAATGTATTTCCGTAGCTTTTTGTAAGCTATATCCACGTACTTTAATAATTTTATGAAAACTTATTTTGGATATTCAGTTTTGTATATTCTTTTGGTCTTCGTGTATATGCATTTCGTATTCTGAAACATGTGGAACACTCTATATACAGTTATAGAGATTGCAAATAACACTAAAACTGAAGTTTCAGAAAGATTAAATTACCAAAACTACAGATAATGGAAATTCATCAATTTTATGAGGTTTTAGTCGTAAATAGATAAATTGTTCCTTCTAAAACTGTAAAATCTGTAGGAAAACAAAACATTAATATCTACAAGATACAGCTCTAATTTTTTTTTTCTTTTCATCTCAATAACAAAAATGGCGAGAAACTAATACTATAACAGAAAGTTTTCATTTGTTTAGCAATGGTATCGACCTATTTAAAAGTGAATGTGCAGACGATAAAGTGATTTAAGAGAAAGTGTTCAATTGTTTTAATTAATCTTTTTGTAGGCTGAAAAATGGAGTTTGTTCGTACAAAAGGCAGAGTTTGTCTCTGTCTTCTCCAGCCTTTCCTGCGCTCTGATTCTATAATACCACCAAAGGAAAAGCTAAAGTACTATCCAAAAATTAAATCTTACTAATATTTTTTTTTTCTTTTCGTTTCGTAGTTGCGTTAATGTACGTGTATCCTCACGCAAATTTGCAAATTGATGTGAATGAAAACTTCAGATAACAGCTTTTTTAGAAAAACGATAATGTACTTGTAAAATTTAACCATATTATTTAAGCGAAATCAGTAATATTAGAAATTTTCTACGCATGAATGAAAAAATCCGAAACGTCTTAGCATTAAAACCCCCAAAAAAAAAAATCCGAAAATTGTCTTTTTAATAATATACAATACAACGAAAAATACTTAATATATATGTAGGATATAAAAAAGCAACAACATGCTACGTCTTTTCACTTTACAATACATTATCATAATCTCTTGATAATTGATACACTAATACTAATAGATTTGTACTTTATTTAAATGTCTCATAGAACTAGACAACCTAGATATCATTGTTGGGTGTAAACTTTACAAAATCTCAACGAATTAAAGTCAAATTACATTAGAGTATATAGTAATACTATTATGTATTAAAGTGTGAATGTCAAATTGTCTCAAGGAAAAGGAGCAGGCTATGGCTTAGGGGTATTAATTGGAGAACAGTAACACTTAAGTTAATATTCGTTAGGCAATCTTCGAACACCATTTTTACCTATTTTTGTTCATATACATTATACATAGTTACATAGATGCCACATAACAAGAATCAACTGTACTTTTTTGGTCTGATCGTGTGTAGTCAAGCATCAAACGACCATGCTAATGATGGCCGTGTTCGTTTTATTATTGCTGATGTTATCGATAACCAATAACGACGAATGATGTCTGATATCGTTAGCAACATCAAAAAAGTAATAATATACATTTTGAAAATGACTAGTAACAAAAGTTAAGAAGGAAACAAGACTACAAAACCAAAACTTTGAAAGATAGTTGACAAACGCCGTGGAGCGGAACAGTATCATTGAACTAACAATAATAAAATGAAAACGTTTTGGAAACCGAAATGTATTGTCTGTGGATAACGGCAATAAAACGAGCATAACTTTATTTCTATATTTTTGTTTAGATTACTACTATTAGTTGTCCAGAGATCGAAACTAATTACGTTATTTTTAGTCACCGAATGAATTCTACATCAGTTAAACTCTGTCTAACAATTTAAACGCAGTGAAACCGTTAAACTACAATTGTTCAACTGAGCTCATTAAACCACTAAACACAGTGATCTCTCTTGTAAACTCCAAGCTCAGCAGAAACAACAAAAAATTTATCTGCAAAACAAAAACGATGGTGAAATGGGCGCAAACGTTAAGCCCATTTCTAGCCCAAACATCTGAAAAATGGCATTCGTCGTTCGTCTCCAAAGCCCGGATGGGAATTGCTGTTTTCCGCAACTCCACGTATATTCGTATTATACAGGACCTCTTATTATTTACGCTGGCTAATTGCTGTGATATATCATTATTAATTTATTATCATCTATGATTCTGTATAGTTAGATGATTATCTATAGTTAGCGGCAGTGTGATCATAACTTCAGATGATAGTACAATAACGTAACTTCAGATGATAATAGTTTATAATCATCTTCATCTAGACTCTAGAGATAGATATAGTTGAAGTTACGCTATGTTTTGTTTGTTTTTGTTAACAGATACTTCATTCATAATTTGTTATAATTGAAAATAAGCCTATCTTGGTTCTTCCCTTTAATTCACATTTTATTACCCTGAATATATATATATATATATACTTTTGTGAATGATGAGATCGATAGAATTTTTTTACACCACTTAATGAAAAAGCGGGCTTAGGACGTCTAAGCCATTGAAAACCTTAAAGTTTATTAGTGGGAGACTTGAAAAGTTTTAAGTCAACGCCGACCAATCCAACATTGCGAAACACGTAAACGTATGCAAAATATGCAATGCAACTATATATGATCTTAATCTTATCACGCGTCACTGTTTTCTTTATCGTATATATATGAATATATGATAACAAACGTGTAATGTCTTCTCTCTTTCTTGTTTTTACTCCAAAAGCCTCCATTTCGTTTTCATTTGTATTACTCACATATATTTCCACTCACTCTCATTAGTTTTTTTTTTTTTTTTTTATCAGATTTTATCCATACTTTTATACTCAATTAAGATGTAAAGAGTGGAAAATCTCGTCCAAGTACACCTTCTCTTTTATTTCCCAAGAAATATTTAGATCGATGTGATATAGATTATTAGAAAGTCATAAATTATTTCTCAATCATAAGTAAACGGACTTATAATTTTCTAAGTCAATGTATCGCCGACCCATCCAACAAAAGTCACGATGATCCTTATTCCACTGGCTTTGTTAAAGTCTTACAATCATTGAATCATATTCCGTCAATAAAATTAAATAATTTTTCAAGGATTGTTGTTTCTTGTTACACATGAAATGATACTGTATCCATGATTTTTTAAATTATATAAATCATAGCGAAACTGTAAGAAAAAGAATATACTAATAATCATCCATTGACCTTTTAAAATGTCCCTAAATGGGCCACGATTAAAGTAGCCCAGATTAAAAAGCCTGGCACATATCTAAAGGAGATAGATATTTTAGCACGCCACGTGTCTGAACCTTACACAAGAAGTCATTTACACGACATAAATAAAACAGAGGCGTTGAGTCAGGTCGAGAGACTCGTGGTGGGGCCCGAGTAAACCGTTATGCTGCTGCTTAAATGACCATATTACCCATACGCTAATGGTCCCAAAAGTTAAGGTAGAGAAGGGTAAATTCGTAAACACGAGAATATGCAGAGAATTTGATGATTATTCTCTATTTATTTAAAATTATGATTTTGCCCCTTCTCTTTCTTAATCGCGTAGTGCCACCCATTTCCAGAGAGGACACAGCCTTTTTCACCCCCTTCTCTCTACTCATTCGCGATTTTAAATTCATTTATTTTTGTTCTGATTCAAATTTCTGATTGTTTTGTTTCTCTCTGAAACTAGGGATTAAGGGTTTTGGTTTCCTCCTGAATTTCTTGATCTACCTTCTTCTTTTGGGAGTAACTGTCGTCAAGCTGAGATTGGAGAGATTTGAATTTTGACTTCCGGGAGAGAAGTGCGTCGAGTGATTTCTCCGGAGATCGTCGGAAGATTTTTGTTTTTCCGGGCGTATCATCGCCAAGGAGGCGAGTTTTGGATTTAAACGGTGGTTGGCATTTTGGTAAATATTTGGTATTCGGTGGATCTGATTGGGATGTGGTGGATGATGGGAGAAGCTGGTGGACATTACTGTTCTAAGAAGACTGATGATATCTGTGGCGGTGTTTGTAGTCAGGTTTGATCTCGGATCTGCATCTTCTTCTTTTCTTCTTCCTTTTTCCGAGTTTCTGAAGATTTGTGTGTTTGTTCTGTTTCTGAGAACCGGAGAAACCACATTGATGTGGAGAAAACGAGATCTCACTTAACCTTTTTTTTTTGGAAGCTGCAAACTTTTCACTTGAATTTGATGTTTTAAGATCTACTTGAGTCGACCCATCTATTTGATTTTACGCATGGACTTGCATTTGATGTCTCGTGAGTGTTAAGCAATTCTTAATTCCCTAACTCTGTAGCTTTCATCTCTCTTTTTTCTTTTAGTATTTGAGAAATCAACTTGGATCTGAGTTTAGTTTGATGGTTGTTCTTGAGTTTTTGTTGTTGTTGGGGGTCAATTAGAGATTATAAATCAGATTTAAAAATGTTTTTCTTGTTTCTCTAGGATCTCCATGAATGTCTGTTTTTGAGTTCTCATTCAAATACTTCAAAACGTCTACTTTCTTCTATCTCTCTGTGCTCTGCATCTGTTGTGCTATGTTTCTCATGTTTCTTTCTCTGTATTGCAGGAAACTGGCAAATTCTTCAGCTTTTCTAGACTTTGTTGTGCTCTTCGTGGTGTGGATATGAAGACATATATCTTCCTATTAGTGATTGTCCCGACATGTGTACTCGCTGGTTATATCCACGGTCAGAAGATTTCCTACTTTCTCCGACCTCTATGGGAATCGCCACCTAAACCTTTCCATGACATCCCTCACTACTACCACGAGAACGCTTCGATGGAGACACTTTGTAAACTCCATGGCTGGGGTGTACGAGAGTACCCTAGACGAGTTTATGATGCGGTTCTGTTCAGTAACGAGCTCGACATCCTCGCCGTACGGTGGAGAGAACTGTATCCTTACATCACTCAGTTTGTCCTCCTCGAATCAAACTCGACCTTCACCGGATTACCAAAGCCTCTTGTGTTTGCTGCCCACCGTGATGAGTTCAAGTTTATCGAGCCACGACTTACTTACGGTACTCTTGGTGGAAGATTTGTCAAAGGGCAGAATCCGTTTTACGAGGAGGCGTATCAGCGTGTAGCTCTAGATCAGCTTCTGAGGATCGCAGGGATTACTGATGATGACTTGTTGCTAATGTCTGACGTCGATGAGATTCCAAGTAGACACACCATAAACCTTTTGCGATGGTGCGATGAGATCCCTCGGATCCTTCACCTGCGGCTCAAGAACTATCTCTACTCGTTCGAGTTCCTTGTTGATAGCAAGAGCTGGAGAGCTTCCGTGCATAGATACGAGGCGGGTAAAACACGGTATGCTCATTATCGACAGTCTGATGAGATTTTGGCAGATGCAGGGTGGCATTGCAGCTTCTGCTTTCGACGGATCAGCGAGTTTATATTCAAGATGAAAGCTTATAGCCATAACGATAGAGTGAGGTTTAGCCATTTCTTGAATCCGAAAAGAGTTCAGAGAGTTATATGCAAAGGAGCTGATCTTTTCGATATGCTCCCGGAAGAGTATACCTTCAAGGACATTATAGGGAAGATGGGTCCAATCCCACATTCTTTCTCAGCCGTTCATCTTCCTTCGTATCTCCTGGAAAACGCGGATAAGTACAGATTCCTCTTGCCAGGGAATTGCATAAGAGAAAGCGAATGATCGACTGAATCTTCACCACACAGAGTCTTGCTTCTCGTTCATCTTAAGATCTCTACTTTGAGAGGAGACAAAGGTTGGCTTGAATCCTCCTCCAGACGAATAACAATTATACAACTGATATATATAATCTCTGCGATTTTGTCTGAGGCGTATTGGTGACGGTGATTGCTGCAGAGTTATGCACTTCCGAGAGGATTATTAAAGGGTGAAGATTTTTTTGTATATAGATAGATCTCTTTGTTTCTTACGGATTCTGGTTTCGAAAACCTTCATTCTATGCGAGTGACTGTGAATCCTTCAAACATGAGTTTGTATTCTTCTTCTGAGTTTCCCCTTTTGGGAAGTTTTGCATCAAGACACTCTTTGCTTACCTTTTTTGTACATCTCTCTCTTTCTCTCTCGATTTCATTGGGTTTGTTATGTATATGAGGATTGGTGTTTTGCATGTCTTCACCATTAATGACATAACTCAACAAAGGACACATCATCTATCAATATAATTAATCATCTATCAACAAGATAAGTAATACTATTAGTTCCAAAATTTTATACGCATATTTGACCCAACACCCATATCGTCTGGTTGGTTTTAAGAAATCAAGTATCAGCAGTCGAGGAAAAGGAAAAGTAAAATCAGGACTGATCTCTAATAGGACTTCAAAAAAAAAAAAAAATGTGTTGTGTGTATACGGTTGCTTTAATCATCATATGAACACTCAAAAATCATTTCTGGACTTTACAATATAGTCTTTGTTCAATCCTTCTCACTTGTCTTTCTCTGTGGTTAGTTTCTTGTGCTAATGAATCGTTGAGTTTGAAGAGGCGGCTGCAATCTCCTTCAGATACTTCTTCTCGGAACTCGCCATTCGGCTTTGGAACATTGTCCATTCCCGTTTACATCTGTCTCTCACCTTTGCACCAAAACCATTTATCATTTCATCAATTAGCTAACAAGAAACCACAACTACTTTGGTTAGAAACTGAGATGTTTCATCTAATAGAAGCAGAGTTTTGAAAGTTCTTACCCCTTGCCACGCTGCTTTACCGTCATGTGACTCTCCCTGAATAAAAAGTGAAGCAACAAAAAAAATGAATCAAAAGATGAACAAAACAGGAAATATGTGAAATTGCGTTTTAAGAGTTTATCCATCAAGAAGAACCTGGCTCCCTAAAGAAGGAACAGTTTGATGAATGATCCATTGAGAATCCACAACTCCAATCTTCTCATGTGCAGGCTGTTTGTATTATAAGTATGGAACTTTTTAGCAACCAATCTTGACCAAACACATATATCCAATGTGTTAAGAATAGAGTGTGTGTAGGAGAATGATTAACCTCGACGCATTTACGCAGAGCAAAATCAAGACCCCAACCGTGAACCAAGTCGTTCTGAAGCATATGCCACACGCAACGCCAGGCATCTCTTGAGAACACTGGCGCCATAATCTCTATAAACCTGTAAAAAAAACTCACATGGAATCAGAGTATTGAATAGATCTATGTTGTTCGTAATGAACAGTGAACACTAATAATACGTACGCTGCACAGGGAGGCAAGTGAGGGTCGTTGCATCGACCCGGTTTCTCCTTGACTTCTCTGATGATAAGATTTTTTGCAGAAACGAAATAATTAGTTAAAATTTTTTTGCGTCTTTTAAATGCTCGGAACTTGAAAAAGTTGCTTACTTGTGAACTTCTCCTTTGGTTTTTCTCTTTGTTATCTCCCATGTGATCTTTTTCTTAGACTCCACAGCAGGCTGCGATATCTCTAGACCGTGTTTCTTTATAAGCCTGATGTACCTGCAGAAGAGAGATAAGCACAGAATTACATTTTCTTGAACTAGGATTTGCGCGGCCATTTTAAAACATTTCGAGAAAAATGAGCAAGAAGAAGACGCACTCTTCTACACTGAAGTTTTCAAGGCCGAGATCTTCATCCCAGATGAATATGTAGTCATACGGTGCCACAATGTCAGGATGCAGAAACCTTTTAGCATACCACCTTGTGATGAAATCATAACCAGAGAGATTCAATAGTTAAGAAATCTAACTTCAAGGGAGATTGGAGTGGCTAGAGCAGAGTATTATGATGGTTACCATTTGGTTTGCTTTGGCACGCTAATGTGTATTGCGCGCTTGGACCATTCATATTCGTCCCATTCTGTGGTTCGTCCATCGTAATGAAACAGAACAAGGGTGAAGCTTTCTTCTGAAAACTGCCGAAACATAAGAAGAAAAGCCTCTTTAAGCTTTTTGCAGAAAGAAAGCAGAGCCGGCATAAGATTTTACCTTCTTGACACAAGCATCAACGTTTACTTTCTGACCAAAACCGACCGTAAAAGCAATGAGATACTTTGGCTTCACAGGCAAATCCTAAAGAAACACATTAAGCATAAAGTTATGATTTTTTTTTTTTATTATCTAAAAGATGAAAGATTCAAATGAGGAGACACTCAAAAGGTTCAAAACATTATGTTACCTCCTCAGGTAATCCCCAAAGTCTGCGTATGTAGTAATCTGATTCAGGTGCAATGATTCCAGGAGTCAACATCTCTGCACCTCGAGGATTCGATGGAACCCAAATCTGCAGAATCCTCATCAAGATTTAGTTTACAAGATCTTTCCACCTACCACTGAAAGATCAAGGAGAAGAAACTTTACCTTCCAATTCGGTGCATCACTAGAGTTAGCCCCACGTAAAGGAGTCCTAGATGACCATGTGTGCAAAAGCGTTTCACTCGATGTGTCTGGTGTTTCATCTTCTACGTAAGCAATATCAACAGAAGGAAGAATGCTAGAGGGGAAATTTAGCTGAAAAAAGTTTCAAGTTGGAGCATGTAAGCACACAGTAAGCATAAGATCCCTGAGAGAAAGATATGAACACAAAGCTAAAGATGTAGAGTAGCTCACTTTTGTTAGTGACAATGTTGGGAAAGATATCCCCAAGAAGAAACCGATTACTATTCCTACGAATGTTGCTATAATGAGTTTCATTCCCTCATTCAGCTTTTTACCATTCGAACTGCAAAGTAACATACAAATCCATTCATATTTTGTGATCAAATTTAAACATGAATCTCAAGCAATGAGCTGAGGATTTGAGGTGAAACTAACCAGCGGTTCGAGTTGTCTGTTCGGTTAGCCATGTCCTGAAACTGGTTAAGGTCACCAGGAACAATATCACTCAATGGAAACCTCAGTCTCCGGAAATTTGTTATCTGCATCACATCACAATGAGATTGAGAGAAGAATAAAAAATGTGATCTTTTGATTTAGATCTAATCCACAAATGAATGCAAGTTAGAGTAAGCCAAGTTGAATAGTTTTAAAAAAAAAGAAATACTTGTGAGATTGGGTAATACAGTATTAAGCTTGAAGCTAAAAAAGAGCAGACACAATCACCTCCTAACCCCAAAAATGGAAATTTTGAGAAAGCTCTGTAATAATTGCTTCCTAAATCTTTAATTTAGACACCAATAAACAACATGAGTTTAGTTACAATAAATGTGATGTGTTAGCAAATTCAATCTGTTAATGAACGATCAAAAACCCAGAATCCAAAAGATAACAAAACAAAAATCAGATCCATATCGGGAAATAAGTTATTATGCTTCAATAGAAAAACGTTGTTACTTACCAGCAAGTGAACAAAATCAGAAATTTGAAGCTATTTTTTGAGGAAAGAGGAAACCTAAGGACGACGAATCAGAATTTGGACATAAAAAAGGGTCAAAGCTCTCTCTGTAGATGTAGATGAGAGTAACAGAAGTAGAAAGACTACGTTACTATTTCGAGACGAAGAATCAATGAGACGAAAGAGGAAGCAACGGAAGTTTTTTTTTAGTCGGAGAACAAAAATATTCAGTAACGGAGCAAGATCGGTGGAGAACGTAAAACGATGTAACTGGAAGCAATAGAATCAATATTATACCAAGGAGAGTGAAACGAATTAAATCTACAAAAAAAGCCGTCGTCTTTGAAAAATTCTGATGAACTTGACTGAGAATTTTATTTTATTTTAAGCCTGGTGGGTTAAAGAATACAGAGAGGAGATTACAAAGGTTAAATAAGTGAAAAAGAAAAAAGGAGGAGTAAATATGATTTGGATTGTGAAAGAGAGAAAGAACAGAAGTGTTTTTGAATTGATCCCATGTGATACGACCTACGGGAATATAGGTGAACAGAAAGTTGACTTTTGAAGAAGATACGTAACCTTGACTCACTGAAAGTCAGTGGATCTTCCCATGTGGTTAGTGAATTGGGCCAATAGATAAGTGTCGTAAGAGAACGATTCCTGGGCTCATGATCCAAAAGAGAGAATTTCGTCTGCATTTGTATGAGCACTATTAATCTAACTTGTTATTGTAACAATAGTACAACAACAAGACTCCATGGCCCAATGGATAAGGCGCTGGTCTACGAAACCAGAGACTCTGGGTTCGATCCCCAGTGGAGTCGCATTTATTTTTTCGTAACAAATTTCGTGGCATTTTCTGTATTTCGTAGTATATATTTAGTTCATAATATTTTAAATATTACACGAAAGACCCACATGCTCTTGTGTTTTGGTTATGTTGAACCAAAAAAGCTGCTGAGAAAAGCAAGGTACAAACGATTTTTCGATTTCAGTTCACGGACTTGAAATCTTTAATAGAAAAGACAAAGCTACAAAAACTAAAAATAGAAAAGAACAGAGAAAGCTATCAAAATTTGGAAGAATAATAAAACAAATGAAGCAGTAGAAATTTTAAACGCGGAAGAAGAAGAACATAACAGAGTCTGTCTCCAGAATTCTGAAGACACATTGATTGTCACAAGTCTTGTGCTCTGCCGTTTCACGAGCAAAAGACCAAAGCAAATACAAAAACAAAAGTAGAAGAAACCATTAGGCTTCGATTTCCGAAGATGAACCAATAAAGATATCAAAAAAATCTCCTAACTTAGGTTTTTAAAGGAGATAAATTTTTTTCATTTATTAATATATTATTGATGCTTCTTCTCTTCTTCAAAATCTGGGAATGGTGTGTAAACCAAACTCCAATCTCATTCCACAACACATTCATTCTTCGTTTCCTTCTTTTACCATCCATTCCTCGTCGACGAAGATGACCTGTGAAACCCCAAAAGTCAGTAAAATCGCATCGAAAATATATAAATAAATGCTAGATGCGGTAAAGATCTTGACACACAATTGCAAACATTAGGAAAGACTCAAGTTTGGATATTCATACTAAAGTCAGCAGTTTCTATAGCTTTCATCAAGACCATCTCTTGGATTCAGGGGATTGTATCAGAGATGTTAAAAGACTAACTAACCTGTCGAAGTTCCTGTTGCTGAAGAATCCACGTTCCTTGCTTCCTTGAAAGTTTCTTCGATCATCTACTGGTCTTGACCAAGGATCACCCGTGCCACGTGATGTAGGTCTTTCCATGGATTCCACATTCCTAGACTCGTCTATCGATCCAGCTCGGGAATTTGGTCTTTCAGAATAGTTACCGCTTCTGCCTGCACTTGATCCAGGCCTCTCGACTGGTTTTGGCCTGAACCTTATTTTGTCGTCCAGCTCACGGATTAGTAAGTCCAGGTCTTTTTCTTTCTCGCGTATAAGATCCGGGAGGTTATGGTTATTACTGTCGGGTTCTTGTTGAGGTTCCTTGCCCTCAGGTGCCATGGTTGCTTCTTTCTCGAGTTTCTTCCGTAATTCCTCGATCTCTTCCTTCAACATTCTCTCTTCCTCTGTTTCAGGCCTGGGAAAAAATTGATTCACAAGACAGACATACAAAGTGAGACCAATAGCTAATAGGCAGATGATATAGAAAGTCAACATAAATCACAGAGAAAATCCATATATCAACACAAGACGTCATAAGAGTCCAGAACAGAAAAAACGCATTAACACAAAAACTCAGAAGAATATTAGAGCATGCATTAACAAATGAAAAACAACAGCTTAGAGATGAGATGCCAAACAAAACAGGTAATGCAATTCTATATATCAACGCCCTCAGTTGCAAGAACAAAGATCAATGAATCTGACAAAGAAATGGAGTGGGCAATACTCATATTCTGTACTTCGCATGATGTGCCAAAATTTTGGACTGGGTAATAAAACAAAAATTTGAATAAGAGTCTTAAGTCTTGTGCTTAAGAGATGCTTAAAAGGACATACAGTCAACATGTCATCAAGAGAAAACCACGACCACACTATAACTTAAGCATTAGTGATTTAATTCGTTTCCATTTTGAATTTGAAACACGAAGCAGAAGTGGTAAAACTATCTAAATACGTTTCCATTCCTATATTTGGTTAGCCAGTTAAAATCTCACTTCGAAATCCTAATCTCGATTCAGTGTGCCGAAAAACGGATTCTTTAAGAATCAAATAACATTCAAACCACCGCGACAACATATATTTCGAGCAAATCCACATTTTCCAGAGAAAAATAGATAAAAAATCCAGATGAATAAGGACCTGTCAACCCTGCGATGCTCGAGTTCAGAATCCATCTTGCGCCAATCTTTCCCTTGTTCCTCCAGCAACACTTCCCGAGGTTTTGCATCGCCGAAAGGATTCACCTTTGGCCTCGGTTTCGCCACATTCTCAGCATTGTTCAATGCTAAGCTCTCAGACCTACTAGACTGAGCACTTGACGGCCTGCTCGAATGTGCGCTCGATGGTCTGCTCGTTTGAGAGCTTCCCTTCTTGGCCTCGATCTCCGAATCGAGTTTCTTCCAGTCCAAACCTTTCTCCGCCAAAACTTGCTCTCTTGGTCTAGCTGCTCCAAATGGACTCGGCTTACTCGTCTTCACAGCAGTTGGAGTATCACTCGCTCCAGTCTCAGCCTTTCGTGGTTCCAACACCAAGCGACGACGCTCCTCATGAGCACCACCGGAAGAGACTCCTCTTGCCCACCGGTCAGTCTCCGGTCCGGAATCACGGTAACCGGACCCAAATGTAGATGATTTTGCGAGAGACGATTGGCTTTTACCCGCTGCCCAATTATCAACCCCGTCAGCTTTAGAGAAGCCCCCACCACCTCCTTCTCCGCCGCCATAACTTCCACCACCACCGCCACCAAAACTGCCACCGCCTCCAGGCGCTCCGTAACGACCTTGGCGTCCTTGATCGAAAGATGGAAGCGATTTCTTTCCTTTTCCCCAATCATCAACCTCGTCAGCCCTAGACACTTGTGGGAAATCGGAAACCCTAGAGGAACCCCTCTGATCATCGTCGAATCCGCCATAACCTCTCCTACCAGCACCACCACCTCCACCGCCCCATGACCCATCAGAATCATCCCGATCCCTCGACATTCGTCCGGGAGGGCCACTAGACCTTCCGTAAGAAGAGAATCCACCGCCGAGACGGCCAGTTTGCATTTCGTCCTCAGAGCGCTGTCTTGGACCAGTAGGAAGCTGAAGTATCTGTTCCCTCGTCAATCCAACAGAGCTCCCAGCACCGGGTGCGGCGTAAGCTCCCTTGGTGAACTCCGACAAAGTCATCTTCTTCTTCTTCTTAGACTTGGTAGTCGCAGCTTCCTTCAGACTCGGGAAACTCTGCGCATCCGCCGCCGTGGCTGTAGCTTCAGCAGCCTGCTCTTCATCGGCACGCTCCGCCTCATCGGCCCACGCGCCGATTCCACCCCAAGGTTTCGACATCTGTGATTTCAATTCCGAAATGGGAGATTTCCCAGATCTGAAAAAAGTGGAGAAGAACACAAACGGAGTGTAATGAACCCGATCAAAGTAATCCGGAGCTCCGAGTGAGAAATCGGGAGGAGATTACTGCCGGAAAGCGAATCAATCTCAGATTCTCTCGTCGTCGCTATTTTCGCCTAAAGATGAAAAGTCGATTAAAAAAGTTGGGAAATTTATTCCATTTGAAGCTGTTTGTAGGTTTCGGAACGGAGGAGCAATGGACGGAGAAAGAGATAAGCGAACGCGCCAGATCAGAACGTGTAGCTCACGAACCAATCGATAAAGAGAAAGGTAATGGCGTGAACGTTGTGGTTCACGCGACGTGAAAGCAAGACGGTTGACTTGAAAGAGAAAACGAACGGTCATGAGTCATTGTTTTTTATATAAAACTAATCTTTTTTTTTTCCCACCAACTTTATGTTTATGGTGACATCTTTATGTGCTCATATTATTCCACGTTGTAATAAGACACAAATAATAAACCTGATAATTTAATCCATAAACACATTTCATGTGTTATATTACATGAAATGCTATTACATTTTAACATTTTCCTTAAAATTTTATTAATAATAGTTTAGTCATTTGTTAATTCAATCAATTAATATTTATTTTATTTTTTTACTATTTAATTCTTATATTCCTATTACCAAACACATTAATTTTTAAATATTTTTTAGATTAGTTTAACTCCAATTACCAAACACATTTAATTAATTTCAAATTTCCCATAAATAGTTATTTCGAAAATTTTAATTAATCATAGAATTAATTACAACCAAATTTATATAAAAATGACAATTATAATTACCATATATATGAGATTAAATTGTAAATATTTATACAATTTAGAACATTTTACAAAAATAACAAATAATATTTTTCAAATATTTATTATTATGTAACAATATAAGAAAATAACAATTATAATTAATATATATATATACTTAAATTATACATTTACATAATATAAAATATTTTGTAAAAGAATTATTACAAAAAAATCATATTCTTATTATTATGCAATAATATAACCAAACACATATGTTTGTAGGAAAATAAACTAAAATCTAATTTTTATGACTAATTATATATTATTTATTATATGTTTAGTACAATCTAATATTAAATTAAATTTTGATGAGATTAATTTCAAATTTAAAAGCAATATGATCAAATTTTTAAAAAAACCATGGTTAATTAACAGTAAAAGATAATAACCATATAAGTTTATTTAAATTATATTTAGTTCCATAAAATATCTAATGAATCGATTTTGTAATATTTTATTAATATTCAATTACTAAAATTATCGAGCAAGCTTTTCAAAGAAAATCAAAATATTTTTGAATTAAGAAACAGTAACTGCATAAATTTAAAGCATATTCTAAAAAATATGTATTCTAGCATATTTTTAAAAATATTACAAAAAATATTGATAAATTTTTATTGTAGATGTAACAACATATTAATAATAAGTTAGTAAATTAATAAAAGATTTTCATAATTTACAATTAACAAAATAAAACTATTTATTATAATATTATTTCAATAAACTATAAGAGAAATAAATCTCACATTATCTCATTTTCTCTAATTTATTTTAGCTAATTGTTTTCTCTATTTAGATTTTTTTAAAAAAAAAATTTTTTTGCAAACATCATTATTTTTTAGTCGACATATATTTTTTATATGTTAAAAATTTTGTTTCAGTTTGTTTTCTTATGTATATAGTTGTTATTTTAATTTTTTTAGTTTTTAATTTATCATTTTTTGTTTGACAAAGAAGAAGAAGAACAAATAAGAAGGCGAAGAAGAAAGAGGAGAATAAAAAGAAGTGATGGATGAGAAGAAGAGTAGATGAAAAAGAAGAAGAAAAGAGAAAAAAAAAAATAGAAGAACATGAGCAGAAGGTGAATAAGTGATAAAAAAGAAGAAGGAAAAGAAAGGATAATAAGAAGGGATGAAAAAGAAGAAAAACGAATAAGAAAAAGGAGAAGTGATGACGAATAAGACCAATAGAGAAGATGAAAAAATGGAAAAGGAGAACGGAGAAGAAAGAGAATGGATGAAGAAGAAGAATACATGAAGGAGGAAGAGAAGAAGAAGACGAAGGATAATAAGGAGAAGACTGGATGAAGAAGAATATAGATACAGAGAAGAAGAAAAAGAAGGAGAGAGAGGAAGAACAACGAAGGAGAAGAATGAGAAGAAAAGATGAAAAAGAAGAAGAAGACGAAGGAGTAACCAAGAGTCGTTAGCTCGACTGGTAAAGGATCTAGGCAAAGCTTAGAGATCGTATGATCGAGTGACTCTTGGTATTAAACTAATATTACATGATGTGGTTTCGGGCCTGCAGAGATTGCAGACTTCGGACCAGAACTTCATGGTAATCTAAAAAAAGGAAAAAGGAGAAAAACGAAGAAAAATAAAAAAAAAAAGAAAAATAAAGGATAAAAATGAGAAGGAGAAGAACAAAAACAAATGAAGGGAGAGAAGAAAAAAAGATGAAAAAGAAGTGATTAAGAAGAAGAAGCAGGAGAAACATAAAGAGAAGAAAGAATTGTTGGGGTTGGTCTCCACTATGACGAAATCAACAAAAAAAAAGTTGTAATGGAAATGAGCCTAGCCAAATCGAAGAGGTGATAAGCCAGACTGACAAGCTGAGCTGGCAAACTACCGAGCCGAACTGGCGAACCGCAGAGGAGAAACAACGAGTTGGATCGATAAAGACAGATTAAACAATTCATGTCCCAGATAGGTGGACCAAACCAACAAGATATACCAAACCGATGATTCGAGATAAATATTTTTAAATAAAAATAATAGCGTGGTTAACAAAATTACAACTAGATATTCAAACCTGTAAAAAATCGACTACAACATAAGAACACAAGTTATATATAAAATCAGTAATATATTATATCTTTAAATATAAATGTTGGGTTTAGAAAACAACAATAAGCGGAGACCGACCCCAACAATTCTTTCTTCTCTTTCTGTTTAAAAAGATACAGATAATAGAAATGAAGAAGAAAGAATAGGAAGGGAGAAGGAGAAGAAAAAAAACTAAATACAATATTAAAAAACATAAATTTCATATAAAACCAATAACATATTATCATATTTTACAATAACAACTTGTGTGTCTACTATATTAATTTAGTTGCACGTAACTTATATTATCTTATTTTCAAATTTATATTTTTGTATTTACAAAATTTAATTTTAATCCTCATAACACATAAATAAATAATTTATTATTAATTTAACTATAGTTTTTTTTGTAAGAGGGGGTGGGGGAGACATCGTAACTGAAAATTAAAACTAAAGTAGGTGAAACCGAATCTAAAAACTGGACACCTAGAGGAAGGGAAAAAACAGAGTTAGCTAATCCATCAACAAGACAATTAGCTTTTTTGTTAGCAAGAAAAAAGACAATTAGCTTTTATATATACATATGAAAAACAGACTATTCATTCTCTCGAAATAAAGCCATGATACATATGTACTAGAAAACAGAATATCTTATAACATAATATATAATAAATTTTCTTATACTATATAATTTAAACATTTATAAAATTTACTTCAAAAATCATATACCTGTGGGCGCGCAGGTCCAACATCTAGTATACTACAAAAAAAAACATCGATGTTTTAGAAGAAATTTTTTTTTTTTTTTCAAAAGAAAGAACTTTCGTTGTGACATCAAAATTTCTCAAATATTTATCAATACAAATTTCCGTTAGTATGATCGAAATCTTCTTTTTAATCTTTATAACTTATAATTTATGATTGGATCTTACTTGCGGATGTTTTTTTACCACATTCTTTAACGGGTTTTCTCATTTTTGTTAATGGCAGAGTGTTACGACTTAAGAGAGTAACTCAGAAGCAAGCATGGAACTTTCAGAACAAGTTATGTTTCAGCCTTTTGAGTTTTGAATGGATTTTCAACTTAAAATTAAAAAAAAGATCTTGGGAGTAGTACACATCCATCCATCGTTTTCCTCTATACATAGAGACCTTTTACCCGAACAAAAACTCAGCAATGCCTTCACAGCATTCAAAACAAAATGATTTCTCTTCTTTTGTTTGAGTTTTCATATCCAAAATAAACAAAATGAAAAAACATTCCAAAGATGGTGGTCCTACTTTCTCAGATCTCTTTCTCAGATCTTAGATAATTCATTACCGGACCCATTGCGCTGCCTCGCAGTGCCTTGTACGACCATGAGCCTCCACTTGAACTCCCTTTCTTGTTCCATCCATTGTTGGTCTGAGTTAACTCTGCTTTCTTGGCACTTAAAGCCTCACTTAGCTCTTCCCAAGGATTCACTTTTCCATTTTCTGCAATTTACAAAGGTCCAATAAGTTTCCATGCCAATACAATATCGCGCAAGAATTGTTGGAGAAAAACCTTTTACAGGGGTTTGCAAAGCGTTGTTTGTGCCCAGCTTTAGATTTGTAGCTGTTTGGTCAGATTTTGGCGGTGCTGACTTAGCGACTTCGGCGGCATTTGAGCTGCTAGTTTTGATGCAGCGGACATCGATCAGACCAGAAAATTCTATCTGCAGAAGCAAAGTCTTTCTTATATCAGACATCATGATGCTTAGCAAGCAAACTAGTACAAGAACCAGATCTGTGTTCTTGTAGTAGTTAGATTACAATGACATAGTGTAACCGATGAAACATACCTCCAAGGATCCGTCTTCTTTGTAAAGAGATGTATCAGGTTGCATAGAGGAATCTTCGTCCTCTTCTGTCTTGTTTTCAATTGGATATTCTTGAACAGGCATCAGAGTCACCTTCTTGGAGTCCGGATCATAGTAGCTTATCTTTCCAACCTACCAGGAGATATATATATTGTGAAGGCCTTAGGTTCCTTGAAGAAAAGTGTTGATTGATTAATTCGCTCAAAAGAAGGAGAATTAGAAATTTTACTCGAAAGGAAGAAACTTCGGGCGTCCAAGATGATGTAAGCTCAATGAGGCGGTACGCAATTATATCTCCTTTCTGAAACATCAACAAATCAGGAGTGAGGAGTTTCAAAATGCTAAATATCTTTAAACATACTGCAGGCAGTGAATACTATAAACAAACCTTTACTGAGCCAGTGTAAGCCACGAGCTTTTCATAGTCGATCTGACCCCTAGCAAGTGTCTCTGCTTCAGGAGGCTGTGTCTGATAAGTATCTTCATCTAAATCCTGAGCATATCGTTTGGAAAATCCTGTCTTCTCTGAGCCCCATTTTTGGCCCTTCTTCTTCGTCATGTTTCCATTCCACAAGAAGTTTTCCTAACATTATGAATTCATGATCATTATAGATTCAGATCAGGCAAAGCTTTAAGGATACAAAGATAGTGACAAGTCATACCGCAGGAGGTTCACTTTCAGGGGAAGATTGCTCTGTTTCAGCTGAAAAGTAGGAGTATAAAAGAAACTGTGAGGAGCCGCCTTACAAACGCAAAAAAAGCCATACAGAGAGAAATTTACGCAATAATGTACCGAGCGGCTTGAAGCGAATATGGCCTGGCCTCACTTCCACAGGGACCACTTCATCCCCGACACCATCACCATCTTCATCTGACTCTTCATTTTCAAGAGCTTCACAATGATTTGCCTCCGTTACTTGGTAATCTATAGTGATAGCTGGTTTTTGGCTGGGTGCTACAGCTAACTGCTTCTGCAGAAGCTGCAAATCATGTGACAAGAAAGAAGATATAAGTGTTGAAGCGCAGGCTGTACATCACTGAAACACGTGATGGATACATTAGTCTTATAATTTAAAGTTTTAAAGTTTTATAGTATTTGAATAGGAACCTCTTCCTTCTCTAGTTTTGTCTTTTCTCTCAACCATTGCCGTTTAGCTTTTTTACGCCGAGCACTTCTGCTAGGTGTCTGAAATATATATAAGGAAGAGTTAGCCTCACATTCCTTGTCGCAAAGAAGGATCAGATAGGAAGCTAATGGAGCATATGAAACAACAAGCATATCCCTGCATATACATCAGGGAATTTACCAATACTAATTCAGCATATACACATTGTTCCTTGAGACAATGAAGTAAACTCGAACCTTTTTAGTTTCAGCAGACAGTTCGTTAGGCTCTTTGCTCTCTTCTTGTCGCGAGGACCTGCAACTCGAAAGTAAGCCAATGGAGAAACGAGCAGTGAGAGATAATTCAAGAGTTGCTCTTGCTAGCGAGTTTTGGCACAGAAAACATACACCTACCTCTTTGAGTTGGTCATAGACTTGGCATTAGCATCATCCTGTTCATCATTTTCAGTCGTCTGTACATCCAATGGTTTCTTCTTCTTTACAACATTGATTTTGCTTGTAACAGCTGCGTTTTCTCTTTCCACTGGGCTTTCTTCAGTAGCAGCTAACTTACACTTCTTCCTCCTACATCATCAGTAAAAGTGAATAACAACGAATACAGATATAAGTGAGCAAAAAACCTTCTGGTAGAGATCCTACTTGGAGCTTAGGCTTTTGCTCGAAGCTTTACGTTTCTTTGAAGTCTTCTTCTCCGGGACAATCTCTTCCACTTTCTCTTCAAGCTCATCTTCCTCAGACTCACTTTCATATCCTCCAGTTTCCTTCTGGAATTCCTCATTAGCAAGAGGCATTGCACCAGGAAGAATCCGAGCCCTCTCCTCAACCTCAGTCACAGCACAAACATTCTCCTCGCTGTCTTCCTCCAGAATCTCCAACAAAGGTTCCTTCGTCTTCTTAACACTAAAAAACAAAACAAAACGAAAACTTTAACATTAGTACTTGATAGAACCCAAATGAATATGCTTTACAAGACATTATGTGAAAAAAAATAAGAGAAGATGAAGTAGCAAATGAGAAACTAACAAAACGATTTCTTTATCCTTCAATACACAGCTCGACTCGAACGGCGGTAAAACGAACCCGTCCATCTGGAATCAAAGATTAACATCCCATAAGTTTATTTTCCAAACACAGAAAGACCCGACAAAAGTGAATATAACCATTAATGGTGTCCACATTGAAATTAGGGCAAAGTTGAAGTAGGCGTACTGATAGAGTGAGGCCATGAGGACAAGCTTCAAAGAGGCGGAATGTGCAAAGGAGGTGATTAGAAAACTCTGAAACAGTTCGATGACATTTAGGATTCAGAACAACCCAGCTCCGCTTTAGACCTTGCTTCTTCTGGTACTTACTCAGAATCCGTTGATCCTCAAACACCAGACGAATCCTCACATTCTCTTCCGCCATCGTAGGCGAACCTCAGAGAGGAATAGGATGACCCAAAAGTAGAAATGAGATTTTCGCTGAAGTTTTGAGCTTTTCGGAATCCTTAAACCCTTCCAAGACGGTGAAGAAGAAGGAGAAAGTGAGAAAAGAAAAGATCAAGCGAAACCAATAACACTCTAGCTCACAGAGAGGTTTCGATTAAAGGTTATTGGTTTTAATAATGGGCCTGAAAGACCGATTAAGCCCAATTTTAAGTGAAGCCTGAGACTAGAGTTGTGAAGCCTGAGACTAGAGTTGTGAAGCCTTCGTCTTCCCGTTTTTCCCTCTCGCTTAAGCTTAACACCAGCCGTCGTCGTCGATCTGATGTCGCCGCGTTGAAACCAAGAAGTGGAACCTGATATGATCATATGCGTCGAGCTCTGATATGCATCAGACGCTGGGCGCAGTACGCCTTGCATACCGCTCGCGTATCGCTCACCTCGTAAAGTCAGGTATGATCGACAACGCTGTTCAGGTGTTCGATGAAATGCGCCACTCAAGCTACCGAGTTTTCTCTTCCGATTACAACCGCTTCATCGGGGTTCTGGTCAAAGAGTCGAGATTTGAGCTTGCTGAGGCAATATATCGGGATATGACTCCAATGGGTTTCTCCCTCATCCCCTTCACTTACTCGAGGTTTATCTCGGGTTTATGTAAAGTTAAAAAATTTGATCTCATCGACGCTCTTCTGAGGGACATGGAAACCCTCGGATACATACCAGATATCTGGGCGTTCAACATTTACTTGGATCTGTTGTGTCGAGAGAGAGAGGTTGGTTTTGCTGTTCAAACGTTCTTTTGTATGGTTCGGAGAGGTAGAAAACCAGATGTTGTATCTTATACTATACTAATTAATGGGTTGCTTAGAGCTGGTAAGGTCACTGACGCTGTTGAGATTTGGAGTGAGATGATTCGTAGTGGGATTCATCCGGATAATAAAGCATGTGCAGCACTTGTTGTTGGGTTATGTCACGCTCGGAAAGTTGATTTGGCTTATGAGATGGTGGCTGAAGAGATCAAGAGTGCAAGAGTCAAGCTTAGTACAGTGGTTTATAATGCGTTGATTAGCGGGTTTTGTAGAGCGGGTAGAATAGAGAAGGCAGAAGCTTTGAAATCATTTATGAGTAAGAGTGGGTGTAGCCCGGATCTTGTTACATACAATGTGTTGTTGAATTATTACTACGATAACAATATGCTGAAGAAAGCGGAAGGGGTGATGAGCGAGATGGTCAGAAGTGGGATACAGCCTGATGCTTATAGTTATAACCAGTTGCTTAAGCGACATTGCAAGGTTGGGCACCCTGATAAATGCTATTCGTTCATGGTAAAGGAGATGGAGCCTAGAGGTTTCTGCGATGTTGTCTCCTACAGTACTCTGATTGAAACATTTTGTAGGGCGTCAGATACTAGGAAGGCTTACAAGCTCTTTGAGGAAATGAGACAGAAGGGGATAGTAACGAATGTGGTCATGTTCACGAGTCTTATCAAGGCTTTTCTTAGGGAAGGTAACTCTAGTGTTGCAAAAAAGCTTCTCGATCAGATGACAGAGTTAGGTCTGTCACCAGATCGCATATTCTACACAACAATTCTGGACCATTTGTGTAAATCCGGAAATCTCGACAAGGCTTATGGTGTTTTCAATGACATGATAGAGCACGGAATTACACCGGACGCGGTTTCATACAACGCCCTTATAAGTGGCCTCTGCAGGTCATGTAGAGTAGCTGAAGCAATGAAGTTGTTTGAGGACATGCAGAGTAAAGAGTGTTGTCCTGATGAGTTGACTTTCAAGTTCATTATTGGAGGACTCATACGGGAAAATAAACTATCAGCAGCCTACAAGGTTTGGGATCAGATGATGGATAAAGGATTCACCCTTGATAGAGATGTGTCTGATACACTCATCAAGGCTAGCTGTTCAATGAGTGCTGATGCGTAGGCAGAATAAGGGTATACATTATACACCTTTAAAATTGTCAACAATTGTCGTCTCCTGTGCAAAAATGCCATCTTAGTCAAAGTCTGGCGGCATGGAGATTGCTGATACAGAGCCTTTTAAGCCTCTACTGATGCCTGCTACTGCTTGGAGAGAAACTTATCAGGTTTGAGCTAGTTTCATTCCTTTTCTACATTAGTGATTCCGTGGTTGAGTTTTACATTGGCCAACTAAATATTTTACCCTTTTTTTGCAGCTGACTTGACATTAATACTCCTGAAGGATCATCATTTGTGGTCAGATATGAAACAAGACAGCAGCTCTCTAGCGTTAGAGATGAAACAAAATCTCTGAACTCAGGCTAACCCATTCCTCGGGAATATAACACTGAGGACTGAGCATATTGGACTGAGAAAAGGAGTTACCTTTTTTATTTATCGGCACATCAAGCTTGTTGTTTCTTGGTTGGAGAAGCATGAAATTCATCCTTCAATGGTACGCATGTAGAACTTTTTTTGTTAACACGCTTTTTGAACATACTTCCATGGTCAACTGCAGCCTCTATTAGCTGCGTTGTCAATGCGGTTTTGGATCTTGATATGTTAAGAGCCTTGGACACAATCGATCTATTCTGCCTCGAGAAGCTGCGTCGTAAAGGCTGAAAGCCAAAAACTTTTTCTCATTAGTTTTCTTAGGACTTTGTTTCAAAGGGGGTCAAATCTTAATCTTTTTCTTATCATACTTCTACATATTTTCATACACTTACATATTCTATAACAAAATCAAGCTTTTTCTGGAACCTATTGACGACACAAAATTCTCAATTTTATTGTATCTGTGTGACAGTTTTATCAGCGAATCCTAACTCTATACTTCAGTCATATCATTTACTATGTTTTCTCATGTGTATTGATGCAGAACTAAGCCTGTTATAAGCACGGAACAGGAAGAGGAAGGATGCGTAAACATACTAAAACAGACAGGCGATTGATCTTTTTACCGTAATCGGGAATCTGTAAGCTCTTACCTCTCTCCCTCCAAGAACCCAACTGAATCTTGGCACTGTAACACAACAAAAGTGAATCGAACCTAGACTTTTAATTTCTTTTTCAAAAGTTTAAGATGATGTTTATAGTTTCGTTTGATTGATTTTTTATCTGAGCAAAATATATTGAAAAAAAGAAAGATTACTTGCTTCCTTGTATCAGTTTCCTTTAACACAAGAATCCTACTTGAACTTCTCATCAAGTTATCATATCTCTCTCATTTAGAAACACTCGAGATTTCTCTTTTCTTGCTATCACCTAAACTCTCTTCTCATCTTCTTGATGCTTCAATGTCTCACCACCACCACTATGAAACCAACCCTCACTTCGTTCAGTTTTCCTCGCAGGATCAACATCCCGGTGGTCCCTCTAGCTCATGGTCCCCTCCGCACCACCACCAGATCCCCCAGACTCACTCAGTTGCTCCACCTGGGCCGAAAATAAAGACTCGAGGACGCAACCAGACCGGGCCACCTGAACAAATCCATGAACCGCCTTCCTCAAGACCCATGCCACTGAGGCCAGAAGAACCGTTACCACCACGCCATAATCCAAAATCCGCCAGGCCATTGCTATTGAGCCCTGAAGATCAACAACGACCTCCACACCATGGTGGCTATGGATCTGAATCAACTCCATGGAGGACCGCTCCAACACGACCAGCGTATCAGCCAGGTCCAAAGAGGACCAAACCCATGAAACTGTCGGCTACAGTCTGCTGTGCGATTCTCTTTATCATCCTGATTCTCTCCGGCCTCATCCTCCTCCTCGTCTACATCAGCAACCGTCCAAGCTCACCATACTTTGACATCTCAGCAGCAAACCTAAACACGGCGAATCTCGAGATGGGTTACGTTCTAAACGGAGATCTCACCGTTGTGGTAAACTTCACAAACCCAAGCAAGAAAAGGAGTGTCGACTTCAGCTACGTGATGTTCGAGCTCTACTTCTACAACACACTCATAGCAACCGAGCGCATTGAGCCGTTTATTGTTCCAAAGGGAATGTCGATGTTCACGAGCTTCCATCTCGTGAGCAGTCAGGTACCGATTCAGATGATTCAGAGTCAGGAGTTGCAGCTTCAGCTCGGCACTGGTCCTGTGTTGTTGAACCTGAGAGGAACGTTTCACGCTCGCTCGAACCTCGGGTCGTTAATGAGATACTCTTATTGGTTGCACACGCGTTGCAGCATCTCGTTGAATAGCCCTCCTTCGGGGTCAATGCGAGCAAGGCGATGCAGTACGAAACGCTAGCGATTTGCAGCGTTCTCTGCGACTGATTATATTACTTTATTTTTTTGATGCATTTGATGATTATATAGGCCAATAGATTTGATAAATTTGTAATTTTTGTTGTTGTATGTTCTCATATTTTTCTGCTACACTTAGAAATAAACGAAATGGCAGGATATGCATTTGATTTTGTACTTTGAATAATAGGATTGATCCAAAATTGTATTTAATTTGATAATATATCACTCACTTTGCATTTAAATGATCAGCTAGCTGTACTTATTAATTAACCCAATAAACCCAAAGTGATTATAAAGTCTTAACTTTATAGATGTCACACGAGAAGAAAAGAATCTACGAAACGAGAATTATCAAAGGACGAGCAAAAGAAAAAAGTGATCAGCCCAATTATCTGATGGCCCAGTCTGGCCCATATTTGCTCCCCTGTGGTTTGCCCGGAGCTCAAGAAACGATCTATTCCTTTTTCTCGTCCTCGTTTCTCAGTTAGAGCTACTTCTTCGTCTTCTTCTCTCTCAACCTCTCTCGATTTGATTACTTTTCTTCAGTAAGGTACGTTTCCGATCCTTAATCGAGCTCTAGTATCGTTGATTTGGCTTGAAAATAACGATGAGTGTTTAAGGGTTGTACATACACACTTGTTTCCCGTGCTAGATCTGATTTGAACTTTTTAGAGAAAAGCTCTTTGCTTGACATCTGGTTTTGGTTTACCTCTTGCTAGATATAGCTTTAATTTCTTACAGATTATTCGATATTCGAGCGGATACTTGTATATATCTCAATTGAGGAATTTTCGATTCTGTAGGGTTTTACAATGAAGCTTGATACTAGTGGGTTCGAGAATACCATGCCTCTGATTGGCTTCGGCTCGAGCAGCGATATGCTTGATGGGTTTTCTACTGTGCCCTCGTTTGATCTTCCCAGGACAACAGATGTGAGTTTTTTTTTTTTTTTTTTTTTTGCTTGTTTTGTTGATTCGAAGTGGTGTGGGTGAATTTTCGATGTTGATGTCAACTGATTTTTTTCTGTGGGTGGTTTCAGTTTGATGGATTTCAGAAAGAAGCTGTTCAGATGGTGAAGCCTGCAAAAGGAACAACCACACTCGCTTTCATCTTCAAAGAAGGTGTTATGGTCGCTGCTGATTCTCGGGCTAGCATGGGAGGCTATATCTGTATGTTCTCTTTCACAATTTTACTTTTTTTTATTTGCTTTATAGTGGCAGAATTTGGTGGTATTTAGCTGTGAATTCATCATAAAGAAACACAATTAGGATAGAGATTATGTTAGCTTAGTGGTGGCCAATGATTGTGAACCAGTAGAGAGGAAAAGAACCATTTATGTGAATCCTGCTGATGTTTTTTATATCGGTTTTCTCTTCATTCAGCCTCACAGTCTGTGAAGAAGATTATTGAAATCAATCCTTACATGCTTGGTACAATGGCTGGAGGAGCTGCTGATTGCCAGTTCTGGCACAGAAATCTCGGAATTAAGGTACCTAGCTCGACTGTTTCTATATGAACTGATGCTTAGATCTTGTGATTTATCTTCATTCGTGTGGCTATCGGGAATCTTGTAGCGTTATTAATATCGTTTGTGTACACCTTGATTTTCTTCAACTCTCTGCCAAATTTGCATTTACTGAAAGAAACTGTGGTTGATCTGTGGATTTGTTTGTCTGTACAAGTGCCGTCTACATGAGCTGGAAAACAAGAGGAGAATCTCTGTTTCCGGAGCTTCAAAACTTCTGGCGAACATGCTCTATTCATACCGTGGAATGGGACTTTCCGTCGGCACGATGATTGCTGGATGGGACGAAACGGTAAGTGAAATGAACTCTCTTTTTTTCTTTCTCTCACCCAAATGAAAAACGTTTAGATTCTAACTCCTCCTTTGTATACAGGGTCCTGGACTATACTATGTTGACAACGAAGGAGGGAGGCTCAAGGGAGACAGGTTCTCAGTCGGATCTGGTTCACCATACGCCTATGGTGTACTAGACAGCGGGTAAATCATCTCCCCTTAAACAATGTTCTCTCTCTTTTTTTTTTCTCCCAGTCCCAAAACCGAAAACCGTAATCTCATCTTGCTTTCTCTATATCAGATACAAATTTGAAATGTCCGTTGAAGAAGCTTCTGAGTTAGCAAGGAGATCAATATACCATGCAACATTCCGTGATGGAGCGAGTGGTGGAGTTGCCAGCGGTTAGTAGTCCAACTGGATTTGTAGTCTTCAAATTTGATACTTAACTTATAAGATTGTGAAATTTTTAGCTCATTTTACTAAGATCTGTCTCTTCTTCATATGATCCAGTGTACCACGTCGGTCCTAATGGATGGAAGAAACTGTCAGGAGATGATGTTGGGGAGCTACACTATCACTACTACCCCGTGGCACCAGCCACCGCGGAACAAGTCATGGAGGAAGCAGCCGCCGAGTAAGGAGTCCCTTTTATTGCTCTCAGATCATTCACTCTCTTTTCTGTTTTTTTTTTTTTTTTTTTTTTTAGTAAATACTGAGTTATCTCTAGCTTAACCTTTGGTATTCACTCTATAAGATTCTCCTTTTTTTCCTGCAAATACATGTTCTCATTTACTTTGTTCAGTCATCTCTTTTTTAACTCTTTGATCCTGTGTTTCAAGGATTCTGTGATAGTTTTACATTAATAATTAACTAACTATATGGTGAAAATTAAAATAAATCGTTAGGTTGAAGATATCAAGTCATGAACCTAACTTCGCGTCTAGATACAATCTATTCTTCACATCCCAAATGAATCATGTGCAATCCGAATAGACAGAACCTTTCAAATCAACAACCCTTTCGTAAGAAGTTTCAAAACTTATCTAGATTGACTAAGTCAATGTCGGATGTTCCACCACAATGGACATAAGTCCTGGAGACTCTTGGTCTTATATGATTCACTTTTCATCGAACGTATCCCTAGTATCAACGGAATCCAAGATTCGTTTGTCGTCTCTCTAATGATATCTGAACAAAGTCTCAAGTCACCCCCTGGGACGACAAGACATGACTATGTTTTTGCCTACAGCCTTTCAATAATCATCTTATAGACAAAATATCTCTCGTCTCTTCAAGCAACAGAGAAATTCTCATTTAAGAGACGTCTCTTCCTCTTCTACCTTTTCTATGTTTTTACTCTCTATATTAATGAAATACCTCAGTATCTCGTCTCTTCAAGAAACAGAGAAAGAAAAGAAGAGACAGAGGAAGAGAAAAATGGCGATCTTGCTCTGTTTATTCTTGGTTTTGCTTCTTACTCTTGTCTCATCGATGTTTCTTAACAAGATTAAAACCTCAAAATTCAATTTTCCTCCGAGCCCTTCAAGTCTTCCGATCATCGGAAACTTACATCATCTTGCAGGATTGCCTCACAGATGTTTTCACAAGCTCTCAATCAAATACGGACCAGTGGTGCTTCTTCGACTCGGGTTTGTTCCAGTTGTCGTAATCTCATCGAGTGAAGCAGCTGAAGCAGTTCTTAGAACCCATGACTTGGAATGTTGCAGCCGACCAAAGACGGTGGGGACCGGAAAACTCTCTTACGGCTTTAAAGACATCACCTTTGCGCCATACGGTGCATATTGGCGCGAAATGAAAAAAATCTCTGTTATCGAGCTTTTTAGCCTTAAAAAAGTTCAATCTTTTAGGTATATCAGAGAGGAAGAGGTCGAGTTTGTGGTGAAGAAAGTGTCGGAATCGGCTCTGAAACAGTCTCCTGTGGATTTGAGCAAAACCTTCTTCTCACTCACCGCAAGCATCATTTGTAGAGTGGCTTTAGGACAGGACTTTCACGAGAGCGGCTTCGTTATCGATCAAGAAAGGATCAAAGAACTTGTTACTGAATCAGCGGAAGCTCTTGGGACTTTCACTTTCTCCGACTTCTTCCCTGGTGGACTTGGAAGATTCGTAGACTGGCTGTTTCAACGACACAAGAGGATCAACAAAGTCTTTGAAGAGCTTGATGCTTTTTACCAGCATGTGATTGATGATCACCTGAAGCCAGGAGGAAGGAAAAATCCGGATATTGTTTCTTTGATGTTGGATATGATTGATGAACACGGAAACGCAGATTCATTCAAACTCAACACGGATAATGTCAAGGCAATGCTCATGGTAAACCTCAAAACTTGGAGTTGATTTCTCATGTTGAATTTGTTTGACAACTAACGTTAATTAACCTTCATATATGTGTTTATTATGGGATGTTCAGGATATATTCCTGGCAGGGATAGATACAAGCGCCATAACTATGATTTGGGTGATGACCGAGCTAATTAAGAACCCTAGAGTGATGAAGAAAGCTCAAGAAGTCATTCGAGCCACCCTCGGACTCAACAGGGAGAAGATCACTGAAGAAGACCTAGGAAGAGTTGATTACTTGATGCTTATAATCAAGGAAACATTCAGATTACACCCGTCCACTCCACTTTTGCTACCAAGAGAAACAATGTCTCACGTCAAGATTCAAGGCTACGATATTCCTCCGAAAACGCAAATCCGAGTTAACGTGTGGACGATCGGACGTGACCCCGAGCGTTGGACCGACCCTGAAGAATTCATCCCTGAGCGGTTTACAAATAGCTCTGTAGATTTTAGAGGACAACACTTTGAGCTGTCACCGTTCGGCTCTGGTCGAAGGATGTGTCCTGCAATCCCCATGGCGATTGCTGCCATGGAGCTTGGACTGTTGAATTTGCTTTACTTCTTCGATTGGAGGTTGCCTGATGGGATGAACATTGGAGACGTTGACATGGAAGAAACCGGCACTCTCACCATCGTCAAGAAGCTACCTCTTCGACTTGTGCCCCTTCAACGCCATTACTGAGCATTCGATAAAGCTCCACAACATGAATGCAGTACGAGCATAAAACATATAATTATCTAGAAATAATTGCAAGGTATACGCATTAGTTAATGTAATGATGAACATTTTATCAGAAAAGTAATGAAGTTTGATGATAAGTTACATAATTTTCAAATTTAAAACCAATGGCCACTATATATGAATTTAAATTATATATGCATGCATGCATCTCGGGAGAATTCTATTATTTAATAATTTTTTATATTATTTGATCTGTTCCATGCCAAAATTCAAACCATTTTCCAATTTATGTAGACGGTTTCTTCTAATTTTAGCATTGATGATTATATAATCAAGGACGATTCAATTATTTTGCAGTTATTTTTAATATAAGCTTATTTAACACACACAAAATCGAGACATGCATGTTAAGTCGACGTGGAAGAGTGTCGATGGTCGATAAAATGGCATAGTTTTGTCTTAAATAGTTCGAATTTTTTAAATCGAACGTGTCCCTACAGGCAACATATAAAGCCATGACTTGTCTCCAGTGATCCAATCAATCCGTGACACGTTATATATCCGTAAATCCACAACTTAAAACCAAACTGAAACTAGGTTTATACGAAAGAACGAATTCAATAATCCTTGGGATGCTAACTAAAACTTATCCCGTTTTGACTATGAGTCATCGTCGACGTGTAAGCGTCTCTATGATCGACAATGACACAAGTCCTGGACTCTTGTCTTACATAATTCACCTTTTAGCGAACGCACCCCTTTATCAGCAACAAAATGCATGACTCGTCGTTTGTCGTCTCTTACGATACAAATTAAATATAACCTAATTATAACAGCAGGTCATGTTTGGACCGTTTTCAGTCTAATGTGGTAATTTCTGTCACGACTTACAACAACATGACGTCATAACGTCCTTTCACTCATCATATAGACCAGAATCTTCGAATACTAAAGTTCATCTCTTTAAGAACACAGAGAAAGAATAAAAGACAGGAAAGTGAAAAATGGCGATCTTGCTCTGTTTCTTCTTGGTTTCGCTTCTTACTCTCGTATCATCAATCTATCTTAAAAAGATTAAATACTCAAAATTCAATCTTCCTCCGAGCCCTTCAAGTCTTCCGATCATTGGAAACATACATCATCTTGCAGGATTGCCTCACAGATGTTTTCATAAGCTCTCCATCAAATACGGACCAGTGATGCTTCTCCGTCTCGGGTTTGTTCCAGTGGTTGTGGTCTCATCGAGCGAAGCAGCCGAAGCAGTTCTCAAAACCCATGACCTGGAATGTTGCAGCCGACCAAAGATGCTCGCGGCCGAAAAACTCTCCTACGGTTTTAAAGACATCAGTTATGCGCCGTATGGTGAGTATTGGCGGGAAATGCGAAAACTCGCTGTCATCGAGCTTTTTAGCCTTAAAAAGGTTCAATCTTTCAGGTATATAAGGGAAGAAGAGATCGAGTTCGTGGTGAAGAAATTCTCGGAATCAGCTTTGAAACAATCTTCTGTGGATTTAAGCAAAACCTTTTTCTCACTCACCGCAAACATCATTTGTAGAGTAGCGTTAGGACAGAACTTCCACGAGAGCGGTTTCGTTATCGATCAAGAAAGGATCGAAGAACTTGTTACCGAAACTATGGAAGCTCTGGGGACTTTCACTTTCTCTGACTTCTTCCCTGGTAGGCTTGGAAGATTCGCAGACTGGTTGTTTAAGCGACACAAGAGTGTCAACAAAGTCTTTGAAGAGCTTGATGCTTTTTACCAGCATGTGATCGATGATCACTTGAAGCCAGAAGGAAGGAAAAATAAGGATATTGTATCCTTGTTGTTGGATATGATCGACAAACACAATAGCGCAGATTCTTTTAAACTCAGTATGGATAATCTCAAGGCAATCGTCATGGTAAAAGCTCAAATCTTGGTTTTTCTTCATATCTCATACTAAACCCACTTGATTAGTTTAACAGAGTTTATATGTTATATCATGTGATGTTGTTCAGGATATATTTCTCGCGGGGATAGATACAGGTGCCCTAACTATGATTTGGGAGATGACAGAACTCGTTAGAAACCCTAGAGTGATGAAGAAAGCTCAAGAAAACATTCGAGCCACCCTCGGGCTCAAAAGGGAGAGAATCACTGAAGAAGACCTAGGAAGAGTCGATTACTTGATGCTTATAATCAAGGAAACATTCAGATTACACCCACCAGTTCCATTTTTGCTACCAAGAGAAACAACGTCTCACATCAAGATTCAAGGCTACGATATTCCTCCGAAAACGCAAATCCAAGTTAACGTGTGGACGATTGGACGTGACCCCGAACGTTGGACCGACCCTGAAGAATTCATCCCTGAGAGGTTTACAAATAGCTCTGTAGACTTTAGAGGACAACACTTTGAGCTGTTACCGTTCGGCTCTGGTCGAAGAATGTGTCCCGCAGTGACAATGGGGATTGCTACCGTGGAGCTTGCACTGTTGAATTTGCTTTACTTTTTCGATTGGAGATTGCCTGATGGGATGGAAGTTGGAGACGTTGATATGGAAGAAACTGGCACTCTCTCCATTGTCAAGAAGCTACCTCTTCAACTTGTGCCCCTTCAACGCCATTATTGAGCATACGAAAAAACTCCATAACATGAATGCAGCACGAGCAGAAAATATATAATTATCTAGAAATAATTTCAAGGTATAAGCATCAGTTAATATATGATGAACATTTTATCAGAAAAGTAATGAAGTTTGATAAGCTACATTAAGCTACATAATTTTCAAATTTTAAACCAATGGCAACTATATGAGTTTAGATTTATATATGACTCTGTTAACCATGCATGCATCTCGAGAGAATTCCATTATCTCGTGATTTCATAGTATACATGATTTATTTTTACTTCTATATTATTGTTTTAACTATCTTTTACGAACCCATTTTGTGCCCGATCCAACCATTGTAGCATATACAAATTTTAATGGTAATAATTTTGAGAATGTAATATTTCTTCTATTATTTATTTTTATTCTTTTTCACAGTGTGTACTTATTTTAATCTTTAGAGTTATAAAACTATAATCCCAAATGTTTATAAACTAAATATTTAGGTGAGTAATTAAATTGTAAATCATAGTGGAATCATGAAATATCATAATATATAAATGGCAATGTAGCATATGCTTGCATTCAAAAAGTTATCTATCTCTGGAGCGGCCCTTCTTTTTGTTGAAGGCTTCACTAGCTAGATCTTGAAAACAACATAACCTTATCCATTCCAGGTAACGATTTCATGTCCCCACCGACTGTGTTTATATATAATAGAATAGATTATGCCAAAAATGTATATATTTATCATTGCTTGTAAGTATTATTTATCCCAAAAAGTCAACTGTTTTGTATTCATTTTACTAATTTTTTGTTTTGTTTTATATTATTTGATGTGTTCCATGTCAGAATAGAAATCTTGTTTTAAAATTTATCTAGACGGTTTCTTGTTATTATAGCATTGATGATTATTATTAAATCAGGTGGTAGTTCAATTATTTAGCAGTTTTTAAATCTATGCGTTTTTAACAAAAACATCATATAAAATTAAACAAATCGAGATATGCACGTTAAGTTGACGTGGAAGAGTGTCGATGGTCGATAAAAATGGCATAGTTTTGTTTTTGAATCGAACGTGTCCCTACAAACAACAGAAGAAGCCATGACTTGTCTTCAGTGATCCAATCAATAAGTGACACGTCACAATCAAAACAGAGTCTAACAGACACGTCACGTGAGTGCTGGACCACATGACTTGATTTATGATTTTGTCACCTTTATGATTCCAATGAAGATAATCTCCACAAATCTAGCAACTTTGTTAGTACAGTTTTTTGTTAGGTGACGTACCGAACAGATCATCTAGTGAAATCCTCTAACCTTATTTATATACAAGACTCTTCGGAATTTGTACTCTCACCCCTCCAAGAACACAGAGCTATAGAAAAACAAGAAAAAAAAAACAGACGAAGTGAAACACAAAATGGCGATCTTGCTCTGTTTCTTCTTGGTTCTGTTTCTTACTCTTGTCTCGTCGATATTTCTTAAAAGGATTAAAAACTCAAAATTCAATCTTCCTCCGAGCCCTTCAAGTCTTCCGATCATCGGAAACTTACATCATCTTGCGGGATTGCCTCACAGATGTTTTCACAATCTCTCCATCAAATACGGACCAGTGGTGCTTCTTCGGCTCGGGTTTGTTCCAGTGGTTGTGATCTCATCGAGCGAAGCAGCTGAAGCAGTTCTCAGAACCCATGACCTGGAATGTTGCAGCCGACCAAAGACGGTCGGGACCGGGAAACTCTCTTACGGCTTCAAAGACATCACCTTTTCGCCATACGGTGCGTATTGGCGGGATATGCGAAAACTCGCTGTTATCGAGCTTTTTAGCCTTAAAAAGGTTCAATCTTTTAGGCATATCAGAGAGGAAGAGGTCGAGTTCGTGGTGAAGAAGTTCTCGGAATCGGCTTTGAAACAATCTTCTGTGGATTTAAGCAAAACCTTCTTTTCACTCACCGCAAGCATCATTTGTAGAGTGGCGTTAGGACAGAACTTCCACGAGAGCGGTTTCGTTATCGATCAAGAAAGGATCGAAGAACTTGTTACCGAAACTACGGAAGCTCTTGGGACTTTCACTTTCTCTGACTTCTTCCCCGGTGGACTTGGAAGATTCGCAGACTGGCTGTTTCAGCGACACAAGAGGATCAACAAAGTCTTTGAAGAGCTTGATGCTTTTTACCAGCATGTGATTGATGATCACATGAAGCCAGGAGGAAGGAAAAATCCGGATATTGTTTCCTTGTTGTTGGATATGATCGATGAACACAACAATGCAGATTCTTTCAAGCTCAATATGGATAATCTCAAGGCAGTCGTCATGGTAAAACCTCAAATCTTGGTTTTCTTCATAGCTCTTGTATATAAAACCACTTGATTTGGTTAACAAACTGTGTTTCATATGTTTGTTATGTGATCTTCAGGATGTGTTTATTGCCGGAATAGATACAAGCTCTGTGACAATGATTTGGGCGATGGCGGAACTCGTTAGAAACCCTAGAGTGATGAAGAAAGCTCAGGAACAGATCCGAACCACCCTCGGTCTCAAAAGAGAAAGAATCACTGAAGATGACCTAGACAAAGTTGATTACTTGAAGCTCATAATCAAGGAAACATTCAGACTACATCCGGCACTTCCATTTATAATCCCAAGAGAAACAATGTCTCACGTCAAGATCCAAGGCTACGATATTCCCCCGAAAACGCAAATCCAAGTTAACGTGTGGACCATCGGACGTGACCCCAAGCGTTGGACCGACCCTGAAGAATTCATCCCTGAGCGGTTTACAAATAGCTCTTTAGACTTTAGAGGACAGCACTTTGATCTGCTACCGTTTGGTTCAGGTCGAAGGATGTGTCCCGCGATGCCAATGGGGGTTGCTACCGTGGAGCTCACGCTGATGAATTTGCTTTACTTTTTCGATTGGAGATTGCCTGATGGGATGAAAGTTGAAGACATTGATATGGAAGAAGCTGGTAACATCTCCGTTGTCAAGAAACTACCTCTTCAACTTGTGCCCGTTCAATATGAGCATTAAACATAAGTTTTATAACATGGAAAGATTGTGAAGCGAGCAATATTCTTTACATATTGTTGCCTTGTATAAGAAGAAATGTTTCAACAATAATCTATCAAGAAACCATAAAGTTTGTTCATTTGCTTAAAAAAGAGTTTTAAGTCATGGCTGAAATCCAAAACTTGCTAACATTAATTCTTTTTCCGATAGATTTTCAAAATATTGTGGAGAATTTATTAGTGGGGGAATTCATCTTTATAACCTAAAATTTGATTTTTTCTCAATATGTAGACTACTTATTGAATGTTTAGCAAAACTAACTCAAAGGGATAGTGAAATTACAGCTCAGTCCTTTGTGACTAAACAAAAAACGTCTGCCACAGTTATGATTTTATCCTTCGAGAAGTCTACGTAAGAAGTCTACAATCGTTGTATGTAGACTTCAAAAGAAGTCTACTACATAATTCGTTTTTTAAAAATTAATTAGAAAATATAAAATAAATAAATTTCTAAAAAAATGGTAAACATAAGTAAGACATATATATTTGACATGTATAGAATACAAAATTTCATACAAATGAATCAACTTAAATGCAGAAAGAAAATTAACTAGAAAACATACAACCCTTTAGAAAACATACGTATGCAGTAGACTTCTCGAGTAGACTTCTCTAGTAGACTTAAAAAAAACATAGCGGGAAATCAAAATTATTTAACAAATTGGGCGGGAATCGGAACAAATTAGGCGGGAATCGAAATCGAAAAAATATATTGAAGTAGACTTTTCGAGTAGACTTCTCCTACTTAACCAAAAATTTTCCTACATATATAAGGAGATTAACCTAATTAGGTTAAAAATAAAGTTTTTCTCTCCCTCTAAAAAACGCCTCTCTCTCCTCTACCTCCTCTCTCGCCATGAATCTCTTCTCCTTCCTCTCTTGCCATCAAACCCATCTCTATCCTCTATCCTCTCTATCTCAATTATGGCGATGGTAAGCAAATCTGATGTTTTGTGTTTCTTTTGTTGTTTGTTTTGTGTTCATATTGTAAATCTGGGTTTATTAGTGCATATTTGAGCTTCTTGTTGTAGATTTGAGTTTACTCTTGCAAATATGCGCTTCTTATGGTATAAATTTTGTAAAATTTGTTGTAGATCTGAATTTTTTGTTGTTGCAGATCTGTTTTTTTTTTTTTTTGTAGATCTGAATTTTTAGTTGTTGCAGATCTGATTTTGTTTATTTTGTTGCAGATCTGAATTTTGTTTATTTTGTTGCAGATCTATAATTTTTTTTTTTGCATAGCTGATTTCTTTTTTTCTTTTTTCTTGTAGATATGATGTTTGTAAATATAGCAGATTTTGTTGAATTATGAATTTTAACATATTTTTTTTCTTATTGTGCAGGCCTGAGCTTATTTATTTCTCTTTTGTTTTTGTTGGAAGCAGACTTCAGCTGCAGATGTCTTGAGTAGACTTCTCGAGCAGACTTCTCGAGCAGACTTCAGTCACATACATCTATTTCAGACATTTTGTTTTTATATGCTAATTTTAAGATTTATAATTAGTGATCCTTAAATGTTTGTTTGATTAGAAGATCTACTTTCTATGTAAAGTTGGATTGTAATTAATGTTATTTTTATATATTCTTAAATTATGTATGTTTTATCATATTCAGATTTCATATGCAGACTTCTTTGTCAGATTTAGTCATCACCATTTTTGAACCTCTAATAACACAAGAAAATTAATTCAATTTAACTATACAAAAACATGTAAAACTCATAACAAAATAACATGTAAAACTACTTAGAAATATCACAACTAGTCTTTCTTCACACATTCTCAATAAACAATGGGTATGTGAACCATTCTCTGTAAGAAAACAAAATTCATACCACATTAGAAATCATTGTCGAAAAAGTAGACTGCAAACGTAGTCTACTATGTAGACTTAAAATGAAGTCTGTGGACTATTAAGCTAAATACCAAATAAAAGAAGAAAATTAATTAAAGCTCAACTGTAACAAAAAAAAAATTCAAACTTATACATAAGCAAGAACAATATATCACACACTTAAGAGTTAAATGATAAATTTTATTTGTTACATATATCTGATCAATTAAATTTATAAAAAATTAATGTCGCAGACTGCAAATGAAGTCTACGGACTAATAAGCTAAATACCAAATAAAACAAGAAACTTGATTTTACCAAATATATATAATATAAACATGTAAAACTGATACAAATGTAAGTACACTTACTAAAACAATCGTAAGACCAAAAAAATCTTAATAATTCGTTGTAAATTTGATAAAAACGCATTTATAAAAAAGTGAAATAGTAGACTAACAACGAAGTTTACAAAAGTAGACTTGTAATGAAGTCTAAAAAAGTGAAATAGTAAACCTAAAATATAGACTTCGTATGAAGTCTATATTTTAGGTTACTTTTGCAATTGCCAAAAGATGAGTAGACTTCTTCAAAGAAGTCTACTCACTCTGAGAAGTCTACTCGAGAAGTCTACGTAAAAAAAGGTTAGTTTTGCAATTGACCAAACTTTGACTTTTTTCGTAAGAAGTCTACTTGCAAAAGTAGACTTCTTCGGAGAAGTCTACTTTTAAAGTAAACTTTTTAGAGGTTAGTTTTGCAATTGATCAATGTTGACTTTTCAAAGTAGACTTCGTTTGAAGTCTACTTCAAAAGTAGACTTCAAACGAAGTCTACTTGGGTTAGTTTTGGGGTTGACCAAACATTGAATTTATTTTCGAGTAGACTTTTTTTGAAGTCTACTCAGAAAGTAGACTTTAAACGAAGTCTACTCGGAAAAATAGACTTCAAGCGAAGTCTATTCGAAAAAGTCAACATTGGTCAATTGCAAAACTAACCTCTAAGAAGTCTACTTTCAAAGTAGACTTCTCCGAAGAAGTCTACTTTTGCGAGTAGACTTCTTACGTAAAAGTCAAACGTTGGTCAATTGCAAAACTAACCTCTTTTTACGTAGACTTCTTTTGAAGTTTACACTATTTTTTTTTTTGTCAAAGGAAATGGCGCATACTTCAACTGAAGTCTACTGTGAGAAATTGGTACACCCGGTCAATTGCAAAACTAACCTGTGTGTTGACGAGCAGACTTCTTTTGAAGTCTACTAACCCCTCTTAAGAAGTCTACTTTCGCGGCACAGATCTGAAAACTCACGAAAATTGACTGAAAAATCACCTACCAGTGGTATTTAACTTATTCAACCACCGATTTCTTTGATTCCAGCCACCTCCAAACAAGCCTAAACGATTTGCCAGACCAAATCACCAAATATGGCAATATATTAAAATATTAAGTTTCAAAAATTAAGATTATAGAGTTTTTGTGCTGAAAATGGTGAAAAAATGGAAGAATAGAAGGTTAAGAGAAGAGGAAATGAGGTTACAAAGCTAAAAAATGGGTATTTGAAGCAATAAAAGCTTCAAATTGGTTGAAAATTGTGGTTGAATGAATTGATGGTGATGGTATTTTTGTAATAAGTGAGGAATATGAGGATTGTTTGGTAAAATAGATTTCCGAAATAATAATAAAAAACAATAATCTAATGGCATTTTCGTGAATAAATAGAACTGATAAGGATATAAGTGAGATAAAGTGGTTAATTTCAAAAGTGGTAAAATGAGAGGTTAGTTTAGCAATTGACTTAAATTTTTGAGTCATTTTTACAAGATTCCTTTTATTAGTTGAGTAATGTTTTAACAATAGACATTATTGATACTCTTAATTTAGTAGGAATGCATTTCTTATCTCATGTAGCTGCTCATTAGGGGTTCTATCCCAGCTTAACGTACAGAAAAAATCTTTTTTTTTTTATAAGAAGGAATTAAGGTCTAATTGAGATGTCTGGATTCCGTACTGTAGAAAAAGAAAGACCGATCTGGATCCAAAGATATTGTTTGAGCCCAAAACAAATTCTTTGAAAAATAGGACTGAAAATTTTCAATTACTTACAACGAGTTTGATTTTTCCATAACCACTGAACGAATGAGTAATTACGATCATAATTTATATTTCTTTTAGCATTTTACATCATTTGTCATAAAAGACAAAAGCCCGATTACTATCTTTTTTTTCTTTTTCTTTTCCTACTTCTTTCCCTCTTCTATATCATAACTCATAAAATTTAAAATCGAAATTTATGTAGATTACAGTATCAAGATATCTAAAAATATGATTATTGAGAAACTATTGCTACAAAAAAAAAAAAAAAAAAAAAAAACTGTATATGATCCTACGTGATTAGTTATGACCGATATCAAAATAATTGAAATCTATATCAAATCTTTTTTATGAAACAAAGAAAAATATAGTCTTTTCAATAATCGTTGGATCTATAAAAGGTTTCAAAAGCTTTCTATTCTATCTAAATAAAATTATTAAACAGAAGTTAAAATACATGTTTTGAATGACCCTTACTTCTCTTAGGATTGGCTAATGCAAATTGTTTACCTCCCTTTACTTTCTCACGTGTATCATATCGGTAATACACATCTTTCATGATTTACTATTTAAAAACGTAAAGCTCGATTACATTTTAACACTGAAGAGCGAAAGTCTAACTCAAGTAACGACAGAGAAACGTGAAACAAGATGGACGTTACACCTACCTCTCTTCACAATTTGGTTTAGAATTTTCCAGCCGTCATCGCAAGTGATTGCATTTTCCAGTCCTATTTGTCTATCTTAGCATTAAAAATCGCTTATTGCCTTTTCATACTCGTTGTTCCCTTAAGAAAAGTCAATATTTTAGAAAATCAGTCTCTGTAAAGTTAATTACATGTCTAATGCAATTAGCCATTCAAAAGAGAGAGAGATATGATATTATACATATGAATCATAAATGTATAAGGGAAAACAGCTCGCCCTAACCGTCTAGAGAGAGAAATTTTTTTTTAGGGTTCGTGACCGATGGCTGAATGCTTCTTTAGCTCTACCATCGGTGAGATGATTTATTTTGTTAGTTCTCTACATTATTCTTCTTTGTTTTGGTTGGTTTTTCTTTTTCTTTTTGAATCTGAAAGATATTTTTTTGATTGATTCTTGGTTTCTCCTTTTTTTTCATCGGTGTTTTCCTTGGCTTTTGTCGGTTCTATCTGCTGCCTTCCATAACGTATGTGTTTGGTTTGGTGTTGAGTTTGGACGACTCATGTTAGTGTTCTCCACTAGAAATTACAATCAGATCTGGTTGAGATCTGTATTTGCTTTTGTCTCCGCAGTACCGGATCTATGTCGTTTTTTGTCGACAATATCGGTTACGACATCTTTAGACGGTTTTAAACCATTTCAATAGAAGCTCCGTCATGTCAATTTAAAAAGCATATTTCATAATTGCCGAAATCTACTCATTACCAAGTGAGGACAAGAAGATTTGAAAATCTATTCTAAATATTTTTTCAAATTCTTTAGAAATTTTTGTTGATTGGATTTGTAAGAAATCTTATAATCATGATAGCTTTTTAGCCATTTCTCATTGTAATCACCCATTAATAACTTATTATATTCAATAAAAGTTATAATTTAAAAAAAAAAAAAAAAGAGATGGGAGCCACCTCCGAAAACTGCTCCGATGTAATTTATTTCTTGAAAAGTTAAATTACCGAACTATAAATATAAGAAAGAAAAAAACAACGTGTCAAAAAAGGATTTTCAATCGAGTCAAATCTATTTTATTATTGTTTATCAAATTTATTTTGCGTCAATTCAAAATAGTATTCATACTACATGGCAAATTAAGTATCTATATTTCTATAAAAGATTCAAAGTTCATTGCTAAAATAGTATTCATTAATTACGGCAAGAACCCGTTGATTAAAAATCGTAAAAAAAAGAAAATAGATAGTACTACTACGTACGAATGAATATAACATGGTGTAAAATAATTTTTAAACCGCTGTACTTATCTGACTAATTTGTAAAATATACAAGATTCGAAGACTGAGCTAATTAGGTTTTGTTGCTAACGATAAGGCCTTATCGAAAACCACCCACGAATGCAATACACGTGTATACATTTGCATGGCTAAACTTATATATTTCCTCCAGTTTTATTTTATTTTTATATATAATGTTTAAAAAATTTATACATAAATTAAAAAATTATTTAATTTTATATTTTTCCAAAACAAAATATATTTTATCATCAATTCCAAAACAATTAAATCAATAAAAAAATAATATATAAAATTTAAATATTTAAAATAATAAAAATATAATTAATTTTTACATAAATATATGAGAATATAACTATTTTTAAATAAAAAATGATTTTTAAAATATTATATATATATATAACGGAATGAATAGTTGATTTATTTCATTATTGTCACAGTAGTCAAAAACGACCCACGAATGCATATTGTCACATTTATTAAGTCTCAACTTTCAATAAACAACAAAAAGGTCAAATATGTACGTCAACACGCTTATTGATTTGCCAATATATATTGCTTTCTTCAAAGTTAGTTCTTCACTCGAAAGATACCGTAAAATGACAGAAATAATGTCAATCTTTCTCTGGTTCCTCAGCTTCTTGACCATTTTCATAGTTTCCTCTATCATCATCTCAAAAAAGCCCTCAAAGTGGAAACTTCCTCCGAGCCCATCAACTTTCCCAATCATTGGAAACTTGCACCATATCGGTGATTTGCCTCATAGAAGCATCCACAAGCTCTGCGCCAAATACGGACCAGTGATGCTTATTCGTCTCGGGTATATTCCAGTGGTTGTGATCTCCTCAAGCGAAGCAGCTGAAGAAGTGCTCAAAACCCATGACATTGAATGCTCCAATCATATGCGTACGGTCGGGAGCGAAACCATCTCTTATGGTTTTAAAGACATCACTTTTGGTCAGTACGGTGAGTACTGGAGAGAGATGAGGAAAGTCGCGGTCATCGAGCTTTTCAGCCTTAAAAAGGTACAATCTTTCAAGCCTGTAAGAGAGCAAGAGATCCAACTCATGGTGAAGAAAGTGTCGGATTCGGCTCTGACACAAACTCCCGTGGATCTAAGCAAAACCTTTTTCTCTCTTACCGCGAGCATCATCTGTAGAGTAGCCATGGGACAGAACTTCCACGATAGTGAGTTCATCGATCAGGAGAGGATCGAAGAGCTGGTTACAGAAGCAGCGGATGCTCTAGGGGATTTCACTTTCACTGACTTGTTCCCCAGTGTATTCGGAAGATCCATGGATTGGTTGTTTTGTAAACACAAGAAGTTGAACAAAGTCTTCAAGGAGCTTGATGGTTTCTATCAGCATGTGATTGATGATCACTTGAAGGAGTCATCGGAAGGTAAAACTTCGGATCATCCAACGGATATTGTCGCCGTAATGCTGGATATAATCAAGAAACAAGGAAATGATGATTATTTCAAGCTCAGTAACGTTAACATCAAGGCAGTGCTCACGGTATAATAAAGCTCTATCAATAATCATACATATCGTTTTTAATTTTGGCGCCTTCTTCAAACATTTTTGAATGTGTTTGTGTTTTAGGATATATTTCTCGCGGGGATAGATACAAGTGCCGTAACATTGATCTGGACGATGACAGAGCTCTTTAGGAGCCCGAGAGTGATGAAGAAAGTACAAGAAGAGATCCGAACCACACTCGGAACCGGAAAGAAGAGAATCACCGAAGAAGACCTCAACAAAGTTGATTATTTACAACACATAATCAAAGAAACATTCAGGCTGCACCCACCAATCCCACTTGTGACCAGACAAACAAGCGCTCACATCAAGATCCAAGGCTACGACATTCCCGCAAGTACAGCCCTTCAAATCAACCTGTGGACGATAGGGCGTGACCCGAAGCGCTGGACCGACCCTGAAGATTTCATCCCCGAACGGTTTATCGATTCTTCTATAGATTTTAGAGGGCAGAACTTTAACCTATTACCGTTTGGTTCTGGTCGAAGGATTTGCCCGGCGCTTCCAATGGCGGTTGCTGCTATGGAACTGGCACTGTTGAATTTGCTTTACTTCTTCGACTGGAGATTGCCTGATGGGATGAAAACTGAAGACTTTGATATGGAGGAAGTTGGTACTCTCTCCGTAGTCAAGAAAGTACCTCTCATGCTTGTTCCGGTGGCTCAACGGCAATGATGACAACCATTTAGTGTGTAATATATAATACAATAATAATGCAATAATTGCTTTCACTTTCAATAAACAATACAGTTCCTTGTATAGGATATATCCACTAGCCGTGAAGATATTAGACAATAATGCAATATTTGTTTCCAGAAGTAATTTAATTCTTATATCAATCTAACCACTACCACAACAAAGAGTCTTATCCAAAGAATGAAAAAAAAACAAGTATGTACATGTGAAGGTGTAGGTTATTTATTTTAATCGCTCACTTTTAGATAATTTCAGATCGGAGCCTGTTGTCGAATAATTTTTGAACATCTGTATTTGATTAATTTGTCGAATAATTACATTTTGTTGCTAAATTCCAAATATGAAACCACGAGAACCACGACAATAAAAATCAAATATTTACGTGACATTTTTCAACTCTCAACTTCAATAAATATAGTTTTTTTAACAATTATTTACCTCAGCGTGCTTGTTGATTTGTCTATATATTTTGCTTTCTCCAAAACTTAGTTCTTTACTCGAAAAATACCGTGAAAAGGCAGAAATAATGTCAATATTTATCTGTTTCCTCTGCTTCTTGACCATTTTCATAGTTTCCTCTTTCATCTTCTCAAAAAAGCTACAACCTTCAAAATGGAAACTTCCTCCTAGCCCATCAAGTTTCCCAATCATAGGAAACTTGCACCATATCGGTGATTTGCCTCACAGAAGCATCCACAAGCTCTGCCTCAAATACGGACCAGTGATGCTTCTTCGTCTCGGGTTTGTTCCAGTGGTTGTGATCTCCTCAAGCGAAGCAGCTGAAGAAGTGCTCAAAACCCACGAAATATTGTTTATAAAGAAATATTTCAGAATTTCAGTCAAGTTTGATGAATGTTAAGGTACAGTAAAACCTCTATAAATTAATAATGTTGGAACCTCAAAAATTTATTAATTTATAGAGTTATTAATTAATCGATAAATTAATAATTATTAATTTATCGAGAAATTAATATTTTATTAATTTATAGAGAGATATTTGAGTTCCAATTCAAAATATTTGTCAAAAAACAAAAAAAAAAATCAATAATGTAAAATTTGTTCAGAAAATATCATATCAGTAAATTTGAAAAATAAGTCAAACAATTTTTATAAACTTGAAACAATAATATAATTATATTTTACTATATTATATTATTCATATATTTTTAAATATATAATTATTAATTTATCTAATTATTGGAACTATATTTTTACATAGGAGTTTCAAAAAAAATTATTATCTTATTATCTTCTCGAAATTTGCTAATTTTTACACTGACCCGACTTGGGACCGGCAAAAATTATTAATTTATAATGATTATTAATTTATCGAGTATTAATTTATAGAGGTTCTACTGTAGTAACTATATTGAAATAGTCATGGATTTTCTTTCCAAGTTCGATCCTGTTCTTAACAGTTCAAGAATATTATTTCAGGTACATGTGTCAAAGACCTCTTCAGATATAGGCATCAACAGATAAACACATCAATCAGAATGGATTTTTTTTATTTATCTCGATATGTATATATAGGATTCTATATGTTTAACTTTGCAACTGTGTTTTTAGGTTTGAGTTTGCTTTATATGCAGTTAATTAGGTTGTCTACAATTCATATGATATTTTAGAGAGTTTTTCTAACTTGGTTTTTATTTATAAGTTTATTCTATAATTTACAAAACAGAAAACACAGAAACAGAAACTTATAAAAGTAAAGAAGATCAATGTTACAACACATATGCTATATCAATGCCATTTTGCAAGACAAGTGTGGGAAAAATCAACTATCCAGCAACCTATTTTCTCAATAAATCTCCTATCCCCAGTTCAAGGACTAAGAGAAACAAATGATGTTGTGTGGTTACCTCCTTCTGGAACGGGGAATGGTCTGCTAGCGCCCTAGATCCTTTGGACTATCTGGTCGGTAAGGAACCAATTTTTTTTTAATAATCTGTCTTCTCTGCAGATGAAACAATGAGCAAAGCAATTAGAGATGCCAGTGATTGTCAATAAGCACAAGCAAAGCAGAAGCAGAGTTTTCAGATTTTGACCGATCAATTTGAAGGAAATCCCAGCTGCAATTTGCTTCTCTGATGCGCCATGGACAGAAGATACATGCGCCACAAATCGCGATTTAGATAGTAGATTTCCAATTTAAAGAAAATTTCAGCTGGAATTATGAAATAGAAAATGACTATGATAGAGAGAAAATGATTAAGAAGATAAAGATAAGAGAAGACGATTATGAAATAGAAAGCAATTAGAGATGCCATAGTGATTGTCAATAAGCACAAGCAAAGCAGAAGCAGAATTTTCAGATTTTGACCAATCAATTTGAAGGAAATCCTACCTGCAATTTGCTTCTCCGATGCGCCATGGACAGAAGATACATGCGCCACAAATCACGATTTAGATAGTAGATTTCCAATTTAAAGGAAATTGCAGCTGGAATTATGAAATAGAAAATGATTATGATAGAGAGAAGATGATTAAGAAGATAAAGATAGGAGATGAAAAAGAAGGTAAAGAGAGTAGACGATTGCGGAGGAGGATGAAGATCATAGAGAAAGAGAAAAGATTAATAAAATTTTGGGTTACTTTTTTTTGTCGACAATGTATATTATTAAAACCCATAAGGATAGAAAAAGACATAAAACCCAATACAAAGCCCAAGACAATCAACACAATTTGAGAGGAATACAAATGAAACATGATACTTAACACATGTTGACAAATTGAGAAGCTGGACCACGTGGTGTAAATTGCCGCTTCGTCGTCTTCATCGGCGAACTCCGACAGCAACGCTTCGGCTTTCTCTTTGTTTCGATTGTTTAGCCGGACATGACACAGATATCTCCAAAATTGGAAAGCTAAAAATTCTTCAGAGTCTTTAAATTTGAAAACAGTGAAAATTCTGATAAAAAACCTAAGATTTCAAATAAATCAAATCTTTTTAAGATGAGAAATTTCCTAAAAAAAAATCAAGCATAACAAAGAACCGAAGAAATTTTAGGTTACTTGAATTTTATGAATAATTTTAATAAATAATTTTATTACTGAAATGCCAATGCTCGTGCATAGCACGGGCCAAAATACTAGTACAATAATAATGCAATAATTGCTTTCACTTTCAATAAACAATACAGTTCCTTGTATAGGATATATCCACTAGCCGTGAAGATATTAGACAATAATGCAATATTTGTTTCCAGAAGTAATTTAATTCTTATATCATTCTAACTAGGGGTGGGCATTTCGGTTTTTGGTTTGGTTTCGGTTCGGTTTCTTCGGTTTTACGGTTTATCGGTTTTACGAAAATTCAAACCATATAAAAGTCATATATATTTCGGTTCGGTATGGTTTGGTTTTTTACGGTTCGGTTTATTATGGTTTGGTTTCGGTTTTTTTAGAATTAAATTTTTACGAAATTTTTTGTTTCAAACTAATAGAAAAATAATAATAATAGATATGAGTAAAATAAAATAATAAATTCAAAAAATAGAATCTAAATCATAAAAAAATCATCAATAACGACATATTTCAAAACAGAAAAATAAATAAATTATTAAATTTTTCATAATCAATAATTATAAAATAATAAACAAATTTATATTAAAATTTAATACCTATAAGGCTATAACCTTGAAACTAGAACTAGAAAACTTGAATGTGAAGAAAAAATAGTTAATCACGTTATTTTTTATTGAAAAATTAAGATTTACTTTATTATTTTTATATAAAATTCTTTTATAAATATTATATTTTAAAAACCGAAAAAACATTTTTGTTTGACGGTTTTTAATCTTAACCAAAGCTATAAAAAAATGATGGCCAAATGGATTTTTAGGTTTAACCATAACCAAACCATATCACTTTTTTCGGTTCGATATAGTTTGGTTTTTTCGGTTATGGTTTTTGTGCCCACCCCTAATTCTAACCACTACCACAACAAAGAGTCTTATCCAAAGAATGAAAAAAAAACAAGTACATGTGAAGGTGTAGGTTATTTATTTTAATCGCTCACTTTTAGATAATTTCAGATCGGAGCCTGTTGTCGAATAATTTTTGAACATCTGTATTTGATTAATTTGTCGAATAATTACATTTTGTTGCTAAATTCCAAATATGAAACCACGAGAACCACGACAATAAAAATCAAATATTTACGTGACATTTTTCAACTCTCAACTTCAATAAATATAGTTTTTTTAACAATTATTTACCTCAGCGTGCTTGTTGATTTGTCTATATATTTTGCTTTCTCCAAAACTTAGTTCTTTACTCGAAAAATACCGTGAAAAGGCAGAAATAATGTCAATATTTATCTGTTTCCTCTGCTTCTTGACCATTTTCATAGTTTCCTCTTTCATCTTCTCAAAAAAGCTACAACCCTCAAAATGGAAACTTCCTCCGAGCCCATCAAGTTTCCCAATCATAGGAAACTTGCACCATATCGGTGATTTGCCTCACAGAAGCATCCACAAGCTCTGCCTCAAATACGGACCAGTGATGCTTCTTCGTCTCGGGTTTGTTCCAGTGGTTGTGATCTCCTCAAGCGAAGCAGCTGAGGAAGTGCTCAAAACCCACGACTTGGAATGCGCCACTCGATCGAATATGGTCGGGACCGAAAAACTCTCTTACGGTTTCAAAGACATCACTTTTGGGCAGTACGGTGAGTACTGGAGAGAGATGAGGAAAGTCGCGGTCATCGAGCTTTTCAGCCTTAAAAAGGTACAATCTTTTAGGCCTGTAAGAGAGCAAGAGGTCCAACTTGTGGTGAAGAAAGTGTCGGATTCGACTCAGACACAGTCTCCCGTGGATCTAAGCAAAACCTTTTTCTCTCTTACCGCGAGCATCGTTTGTAGAGTGGCCTTGGGACAGAACTTCCATGACTGTGAGTTCATCGATCAGGAGAAGATAGAAGATCTTGTTACCGAAGCAGCGGATGCTCTAGGGAGTCTCACGTTCACTGACTTGTTCCCCGGTGGACTCGGAAGATCCATAGATTGGCTGTTTGGTAAACACAAGAGTTTAAACAGAGTCTTTATGGAGCTTGATGCTCTTTATCAGCATGTGATTGATGATCACTTGAAGGAATCATCCGAGCGTGAGACTTCGGATCCTCCAACGGATATCGTCGCCGTGATGCTCGATATCATCAAGAAACAAGGAAAGGATGATTTTTTCAAGCTCAACAACGAAAATATCAAGGGAGTACTCATGGTAAAACTCTATTATTGGTCTTCTTTTTGTCAATTTCGGGTCCCCCTATTGTTTTCTTTTTATTATAATTTATTATCTATCAATCACGACCTGTTTTCACTTGCTGAGCTATCTCATCCATGGTTTTTTTTCAGTAAAAGACTTTTTTTGTTTTTCAAACTTTTTTGAATGTGTTTTAGGATATATTTCTTGCGGGAATAGATACAAGTGCCATAACGATGATCTGGGCTATGACAGAACTCGTTAGAAACCCTAGAGTGATGAAGAAAGTACAAGAAGAGATCCGAGCCACACTCGGAAACGAAAAGAAGATAATCACCGAAGATGACCTAAGAAAAGTTGATTACTTACAACACGTAATCAAAGAAACATTGAGATTGCACCCACCAGTTCCACTTGTGCCTAGACAAACAATGTCCCACGTCAAGATCCAAGGCTACGATCTTCCCCCGAAAACATCAATCCAAGTTAACGTATGGACGATAGGGCGTGACCCGAAGCGTTGGACCGACCCTGAAGATTTCATCCCTGAACGGTTTATCGATTCTTCTGTAGATTTTAGAGGGCAGAACTTTAACCTATTACCGTTTGGCTCTGGTCGAAGGATATGTCCGGCGATTCCAATGTCGGTTGCTGGTATAGAATTGGCACTGTTGAACTTTCTTTACTTCTTCGAGTGGAGATTGCCTGATGGGGTGAATATTGGAGACATTGATATGGAGGAAGCTGGGACTCTCTCCGTAGTCAAGAAACTACCTCTCGTGCTTGTTCCGGTGGCTCAGTGACAATGATGATTACAAGTTTACAACGATTCCAAAGCTTTTTTGACTCTCTTGTGCTTTTCAAATTTTTTTTTCTTTTCATGTGTACTATCTGTTTTTATCAGTTGATGTGGGCCATCCTCGGTTTCACATGGGAGAGAGTCCGCCACGTCAGCTTGCTGATTAGGCTTTCATGTGTCGTCCACGTCTTAAGATTTTTTTCAACTTTCAATGTGAGTTAATAATACGAATTTTTAACTACAGCAAAGAAAGAGCCAAGAGGTAACCAGAGCTACAGCTAATATTATCATCTTTTAAGTATTAGGAACATTAAACAGCTAATACAATCAATTAGTCATATTTAAAATCATTAACTACAAATCTGAGGTTCGGTCTATATGAAAGTACCTGTTTGCAGTCTAGTAATAAAATAGACTTGGGATTATTTTATTTATAATCGATTGCTTTGGATTATTATCGATAGCGACTCAGACACTCATGCAGGTACCTCTCATGCTTGTTCCGGTGGCTCATACATAGTTTATACAATAATAATGCAATAACTTTCATTTTCAAGAAATAATCCAGTTACTTGCTTGTGGGGATGTCTCCACTACAACAAGTTAGAGTGTTTTATCCAAAAAAAAAAAAAAAAAAAAACAAGTAAGGGTGTAGGTTATGTATTCTAATCGCTCACTTCGATAGCGACCCATCATCATCCATCATGAGTTGAATGAATCCAATAATTTCCCTTTGGAAAAAAATTATCTGATGAGTATCGAAAAAGATAACAAGCTTTGTTTTGTATTAATTAATCTTTTTTTTTTGGCCTGGGACAAAGACTTAATTTAGCTACAGAAGCTTAGCAGAGGTGGTGGGAACCAAGAACAGAGCCACGAAAATGTCAATCTTCTTCTGTTTCGTCTTCCTCTTACTCCCTGTCTTAATACTCTTGAAAAAACTCCAGCCTTCGAGGTGGAGTCTTCCACCGGGCCCACCGAAGCTTCCCATCATCGGAAACTTACACCAACGCCGAGAACTACATCCCAGGAATCGTCGGAATCTCTCCCAGAGTACGGACCGGTGGTGCTTCTCCGCTTCGGATTCGTCCCCGTGGTCGTGATCTCATCGAAGGAAGCGGCAGAGGAAGTGCTCAAGATCCACGATCTTGAGTGTTGTAGCCGACCAGGGACAGTCGGGACCAGAAAGATCTCTTACAACGGCAAAGGCATAGGGTTCGCGCCTTACGGTGAGGAATGGAAGGCGATGCGAAAGCTCTCGGTGGTCGAGCTCTTCAGCATGAAAAAGCTTCAGTCTTTCAAGTATATCAGAGAGGAAGAGAGTGACTTGTTGGTCAAGAAACTGTCTGAAATCTGCTTCGAGAAGATCTCCGGTGAATCTGGAGAAAACCCTTTTCACCTTAGTCGCAAGTATTGTGTGTAGGATAGGGTTCGGGCAGAATCTCCACAAGTGCGAGTTCATCGATGAAGATAGCATCGCCGATTTTGTGCATAAGTCTGAATCGGTCACGAGGACTTCTATGTTCTCTGATTTCTTTCCCGGAAGAATCGGCAGGCTCATCGATTATATCTCTGGTCAGAACAAGAGATTAGAGAATATTTTCTCGGAAGTTGACATTTTCCTTCAGAATATTCTCGATGATCATCTTAAACCTGGGAGAAGAGCACAAGAGAGCTCAGATATTATTGACGTGATGATCGAAATGATGAGGAAGCAAGACAACGATGAAGACGCGTTCAAGCCCACCACTGATAATCTCAAAGGAATGATCTCGGTAATGTTTTTGACCCTTTTTGTTAGTTGATTTTAGGGTTTTTTTGTCTTCTATGATCAAAAGCTCATGATTTAAAACCCTTGAAAATAGGTTATGATTTTTTAAGTGTTCTTGGATCCATTTTCTCTATTGAATTCATGTTATAAATATTAAATAGAGAAAATATTGTAACACAATATATATATATATATATATGTTATACCAGGACATATTTATAGCAGGAGTTAACACAAGCGCATACACAATGATATGGGCAATGACCGAACTGATAAGAAACCCGAGAGTGATGAAGAAAGTGCAAGACGAGATCCGAACAACACTTGGGAACAAGAAACAGAGAATCACAGAACAAGATCTCACAAAACTTCATTACTTCAAGCTAATGGTTAAGGAGACATTAAGGTTACACCCTCCAGCTCCACTTTTGCTCCCAAGAGAGACTTCGTCTCACATCAAGATCCAAGGCTACGATATTCCCGCAAAAACTAAGATCTTGATCAACGCTTACGCGATTGCACGTGACCCAGAGCTATGGACAAACTCGGATGAGTTTAACCCTGACAGGTTTCTTGACAGTTCCGTAGATTACAAGGGACTGAACTTCGAGCTTTTACCGTTTGGGTCTGGTAGGAGAATTTGCCCAGGAATGCCATTAGGGATTGCCATTGTTGAATTAGGATTGTTGAATTTGCTTTACTTCTTTGATTGGGGATTGCCGGAGAAGGAAGAAGCCGACAAGATCATCATCGGAAATGAAGTTGCTCTTGACCTCTTTCAAGTTTTTCACCACTAGAAATCTGATTTCTTTGTTACAACTTCTGGTTGGTAAGAATTAAGACTCATGGAGTCTACAGTCTACTTATCCGACTTATTAGTTTGGTTATTCAACGTTTGTGCTATTCAGAAGTTGTTGAAGTATTAGAAAAACCTAAAAAACGAATACGTATTCGAGTATAATTCTCAAAATGAAATTGGGCCCCGATTTCAAAGATTCGCTATTAATTGCACGACCCATATAAAAACAATCATTGATTTTCTCTCTCAAGTCATACTTTTTCGGCCTTTTGGAAGGTCAAGTGTAATGTGGGCCACCCTCGGTTTTTTTATTTATGGGAGAGAGTCTGCCACGTCAACTTGCTGACTAGGCTTTCATGTGTCGTCCACGTCTTGTACTAATGCGAAAGCATGACACGCCTCACCAACTTCGAGATAATTTTTTTTGAATTTGAGACAGCAAATACGAAAACTAGCATTTTTACTAGTAATTAGTAATAGTAGACTCTAGGATTAATCTCTCATTCAGCTAGTGACACTAAAAATCTGAGTTTCTTTGGTCTATATGAAAGTAACTGTTTAAATGGTTGATAACTTTATGAGAGAGCCATAATTGAAATTGACGACTATTTATAATCGATTACTTTGGATTATTATCGAGTTGATAACTTGATGAGAGAGAGCCCTGAGTTGAATCAATAATTGCCCTTTCAGAAAAGATTAAAAAAATAAAATAAATTCGCAAGAAATCATAAATAAATGAGCTGATAAGTTCTTCAATCAAACAAAATACGAAACACATAAGAAAGAAAGAACAAAAAAAAATTAACTTCTCAACCACTTCACTGTGAAAGTAGTGTGAAAGTAGTCTGGTAACCTACATTATCAATCACCAATCATCAATTCAAATGAGCAAACGTTGAACAAAATAAAAAGAAAAGTTTGGGGTTTACCTGTCTAACAATTCTTCGTTTTGTTCTAGTAATTCTATAATTCTCTCCTCAATGGTCATCTCAGCGGTTTACCTGCCAACGATTCTTTGTTTTGTTCTAGCAATTCTATAATTCTCTTCTCAATTGTCATCTCGGCCACAAATTCTACAATACTGTAGCATATAGAAAGAGAATAACATTTCAAAATTGTCAAAAATAAACTACTGTAAATTTACTCGAGCAAATACCTTATTAGGTTGAGCTGTCCAATGTTGTAAACTATGTCTTCGGCTTGTTTATCAATGATGAGATTTCAGGTGGGATCTATGAAAAATACTCTACAAAGCCGCACTGAGATCTACGGGAGCTCCCACTAAAAATCGTTAGTAAATATTTGCATTCATCATTCTAACTTAAGCATTTTAAAGCTGATTCGACGTCTTGGGGTTTGCTCAATTCTATGCATCCAATATTATCATTTTTTAATTTTTTTTTAATAATTTTTTTCTTTAAAACCTTTGAAAAGATCACTAATGCTGCTGTTCAGAAATAAAATTTTGAAATCTTAGACAGCAAAATAGCAAATACGAATTTTTAATTCCAGACAGCATAGAAAAAGCATCTTGTAGACCCTAGGATTAATCTCATTCAACTATTAACATTTTAAAATTATTATTCACTAAAATTCTGAGGTTCTTCGGTCTGTATGAAAGTCCTATTTGCATTATCTAGTAATAAAATAGACTTCGGTTAACTGGTTAAAATTGGTTGATAGCTTTATTAAAAGAGCGAAAATTGAAATTGTCTACTATTTATAAATTACAATCGATTACTTTGATTTATTATCGATAGCGCTCATGAGTTGAATCAATAATTTCCCTTTTAGAAAAGATCTGTAGTAGAACAAGAAAAAAAAAAAAAAAAAACTAATTTCGCCAGAAATCATATATATATTCAGTTGTTAGATTCTTCAACTCTTAAATAAAAAGAAAGTTTTTCCGTTCAATTAAAATACGAATCCACCGTAGGAGAATAAAACAGAGCCAGAAAATGTCAGTTTTCCTCTGTTTTCTCTTCCTCTTACCCCTTATCTTAATCCTCTTGAAAAAACTCCAACCCTCGAAATGGAATCTTCCTCCGGGCCCGCCGAGGCTTCCGGTCATCGGAAATCTACACCAACGCCGAGAACTTAATCCTAGGAACCGCCGGAATCTCTCCCAAAAGTACGGACCAGTGGTGCATCTCCGCTTCGGATTCGTCCCCGTGGTCGTGATCTCTTCGAAAGAAGCAGCAGAGGAAGTGCTCAAGATCCACGACCTTGAGTGTTGTAGCCGACCAGAGACAGCCGGGATCCGAATGATCTCCTACAACTCTAAAGACATCGGATTCGCGCCTTACGGTGAGGAATGGAGGGCGATGCGAAAGCTCTCGGTGGTCGAGCTCTTCAGCACGAAAAAGCTTCAGTCTTTCAGGTATATCAGAGAGAAAGAGAATGACTTGTTGGTCAAGAAACTTACAGAGTCTGCTTCGAGATCATCTCCGGTGAGTCTGAAGAAAGCCCTTTACACATTAATCGGGAGTATTGTCTGTAGGGTCGGGCTCGGGCAGGATCTCCACACGTGCGAGTTCATCGGTGAAGACAGCATCGCGGATCTTGTGCACAAGTCTGAACTGCTCACGAGGAATTCTATGTTCTCTGATCTATTCCCGGGAAGAATCGGTGAACTCATCGATTGGATCTCCGGTCAGAACAAGAGACTGAAGAATGCTTTCTTGGAACTCGACACTTTCTTTCAGAATATTCTCGATGATCATCTTAAGCCTGGAGGAAGAGTGAAAGAGAGCTCTGATATTATTGACGTGATGATCGATATGATGAGTAAGCAAGACAGAGACAAAGATGGAAACTCTTTCAAGATCACCACGGATCATCTCAAAGGAATGATCTCGGTAAATCTTTTTTGTTCTTTACAGTGAGGATCTTGAGATATTCTTCTAACACAAAAAGTTGTGATTTTTGTCAGGATATTTTTCTAGCAGGGGTTAGCACAAGCGCCACCACAATGATATGGGCGATGACCGAACTGATCAGAAGCCCGAGAGTGATGAAGAAAGTGCAAGACGAGATTCGGACAACACTTGAGGACAAGAAGGAGAGAATCTCGGAACAAGACCTAAACAACCTTCACTATTTCAAGCTCATGGTCAAGGAGATATTCAGGTTACACCCTGCGGCTCCACTTTTGCTCCCAAGAGAGACGATGTCTCACATCAAGATCCAAGGCTACGATATCCCGCGCAAAACTCAGATCTTGATCAACGCTTACGCGATCGCACGCGATCCAAAACTGTGGGAAAACCCGGACGAGTTTAATCCTGAAAGGTTTGTGGACAGTTCCGTTGATTACAGGGGACTCAACTTTGAGCTTTTACCGTTTGGTTCTGGTCGGAGAATCTGTCCAGGGATGACGATGGGAATCACACTTGTTGAATTAGGACTGTTGAACTTACTTTACTTCTTCGATTGGGGATTGCTAGAAAACGTAGGAGCCGATAAGAGCATCAACGACGATGAAGTTGCTCTTGACCTCGTTCAAGTTCGTCGCCACTGAAAATCTGATTGTTGTATATTTTTGTTTTGTAACATCTTCTTAGCTTTGGTTACTGAATGTTTTGTTGCTACATAAAGCTTGATCTTTGATTAGTCTAATTTTAATTTTTCCTAAAATCTATCATCACTAAGTTATATAAAAAATAACACAAAATATGTCATTTTGTTTCTATACAAAATATGCTATCTATACAAGTTTCTAACTTTATATTTTAGCAAAAAAGAAAATTTGATTAAATTTTATGAAGTAACTTATACATTGGATTGAGGTTAAAGAGAATTGACACTTCGGTTGACAAAAGTAATAATATTAATTGACACTTGTAATAAAAAAATAGCTAGCTAATATCTTATTGTTAGAAAATTTAAATGATATACATTATACTAGTTGCGGCATTGAAGTCAATGTTTACGTTATACTAGTTGCGGCATCGGTGATAAGATTTGATGATTATAAGCAAAATTATACTACTAGTTTTGGCATCGGTGATAAGATTAGAAGCAAGATTAAAACAAATTTGAAATGATTAGGTTATTTTAAAAGGTATCCAAGGTATAGAAATAATCCATAGTAGGTCAGTAGGGAATGTATTATATACCTTCTCGGTAGCAAATCATATCACAATCACAATAGTACTCTGTTATCAAGTACCAAAAAAAAGGTATTTTAAAATTTATTATTCACATGTCTCCAATAAATAGATAACAGGATTAGAAAACTTTAGACTATATCATCTCTCTTAATCATTGATTGACTCATTTAGATTAGTAGGATCATTAACAACCCTTGATTTATGCAAGAGTTGCCGTCTAGAATTATCAAAATGAAAATGAATATTTTATTACCAACAACACGTTTTCCAACGCAACTAGAGGGATAGTAAATACGCAACTAAAGATAAACTAAATAAAATAACTATCTATATATTTCGCATTTTCTAAGCTCACCGATTCATCCCATAAACAAAGAAAGGAAAAAAACAATGTCAATCTTGCTCTGCTTCGTCTGTTTTCTACCAATTTTTTTAGTTTCCTTATCAATCTTATCAAAAAAGCTCAAACCCTCAAAATGGAAGCTTCCTCCGGGTCCCAGGACGCTTCCGATCATCGGAAACTTGCACAACCTCACCGGATTGCCTCACGCATGTTTCCGAAACCTCTCCCAAAAGTACGGACCAGTGATGCTTCTCCGTTTCGGATTCGTCCCCGTGGTCGTGATCTCATCAAGAGAAGGTGCAGAAGAAGCTCTCAAGACCCAAGATCTTGAATGCTGCAGCAGACCAGAGACGGTCGCGACAAGAATGATCTCTTACAACTTCAAAGACATCGGATTCGCGCCTTACGGCGAGGAATGGAAAGCGTTGAGGAAGCTCGTGGTTATGGAGCTCTTGAACACGAAAAAGTTTCAGTCTTTTAGGTATATCAGAGAGGAGGAGAATGACTTGTTGGTCAAGAAACTAACCGAATCCGCTCTGACGCAATCCCCGGTGAATCTGAAGAAGACCCTTTTCACCCTCGTCGCTAGTATTGTCTGTAGGCTTGCCTTTGGTGTGAATATCCACAAGTGCGAGTTCATCGACGAGCACAACGTTGCGGATCTAGTTAACAAGTTTGAGTTGCTCGTCGCTAGTATCGCCTTCTCTGATTTCTTCCCTGGGATAGGTTGGCTTATCGACCGAGTTTCGGGTCAGAACAAGACACTGAACAATGTTTTCTCGGAACTCGACACATTCTTCCAGAACATTCTCGATGATCATCTCAAGCCTGGAAGGATCGTATCAGAGAACCCTGATGTGGTTGATGTGATGGTTAACCTGATGAAGAAGCAAGAGAATGACGGAGACTCTTTCAAGCTTACCACAGATCATTTCAAAGGAATCATCTCGGTATAATAAAAATCTTCTTCATTTGAATCCCACAGAGTCTAAACATCTTGAAACTTACTCTCGTCTGCGTTTTTTGTATTCAGGACATATTTCTTGCGGGAGTGAACACAAGCGTGGTGACATTGATCTGGGCGATGACAGAGCTAACACGAAACCCGAGGGTGATGGAGAAAGTGCAAGACGAGATCAGGACAGCGCTCGGTGACAAGAAGGAGAGAATCACAGAAGATGATCTAAACAAGCTTCACTACTTCAAGCTCGTGGTTAAGGAGACGTTCAGGTTACACCCAGCAGCTCCACTATTGCTCCCAAGAGAGACCATGTCTGACGTCAAGATCCAGGGCTACGATATCCCTGCAAAATCTCAGATGATGATCAACATTTACTCCATCGCACGCGATCCAAAGCTATGGACAAACCCAGACGAGTTTAACCCTGAGAGGTTTCTAGACAGCTCTGTAGATTACAGGGGACTCAACTTTGAGCTTTTGCCGTTTGGTTCTGGCCGGAGAATCTGTCCCGGGATGAATATGGGAATCGCCACCGTGGAGTTGGGACTGTTGAACTTGCTCTACTTCTTTGATTGGGGGCTGCCTGAAGGGAAGACTGTGAAAGACATCGACCTGGAAGAAACTGGATCGATCATTATCAGCAAGAAAGCAACTCTTGAGCTTGTTCCAATTCTTCATAACTGAAAATGACGATCATTAAAGATAATCTCAGCTTCTTAATTTTGATTTTGCAATATTTGTATCATATTAAGATCATGTATCTGTAAAACATAGAGTGGCGGAAACACAAGTTTTTTTTTCTTCTTCTTACGATCTGTTACAAGCCCTAATTCCATGTGAACAGTGTTGAAGTGTATATTGTTTCGACTTTTGAATAAGAAAACAGAGTAAGAACAAATGGTTGTAACTTTGTCTTTCTCAATAACTTAAAAAAGTATTACAACTTTAGTTACTTGTTATTATTTTACAAATGTGAGTCTCGACCTATATTTATACTAAACGAAACATTGTGTTGAAGAGACATGACTCTTAATAGAAAAGACACAACCTGAAACAGAGTATTTGTGTCTCTTGATCAAGTAACTAACTAATGTGAATATAACTAACTTATACGAGATTTTGATTATAGTTCAACACTCCTCCTTAATCAAATCTCTGTTGCATTCCAAGCTGTCTTCGAAGTTCTTCAAATCTTGAGCCACTTAACGCCTTTGTGAGTATGTCCGCGAGTTGATCTTCTCCTTTGCAGTATTCCAGTTGAATAAGTCCCTTGCTCTCTGCCTCACGAACATAATGATACTTGATCTCTATATGTTTTGTTCTCCTATGCTGCACTGGATTCTTCCCGATTGCTATGGCGGACTTGTTGTCACAAAAGATTGTGATTCCTTCCTTGATCTCTTCTCCAAAATCCTTGAGAAGTCTTTGAAGCCAGACTGCTTGATTCGTTGCTGCACATACGGCCACATACTCTGCTTCAGCTGTTGATTGAGCAACGGTTTGTTGCTTGCTTGATTGCCAACAGAACACGGCTGATCCAAGGGTAAAGACATATCCTGATGTGCTCTTTTTGTCTTCAATGGAACCACCCCAATCGCTGTCCGAGTAGCCAATTAACCTTGGTTCTTCCACACTTGTGAACTGAACCCCAAGACTTGATGTACCTTTGACATAACGTAATACTCAATTTGCTTCCTGGTAGTGCTTCATCTTTGGCGCTGACATGTATCTTGCGAGGTAAGAGCTTGCATACATCACATCAGGTCGTGATGCACATAAGTATAGAAGGCCTCCGATAATGCTTCTGTACTTTGTTTGATCGCCATATTCTCTGTCATCTCCTTCCTTCTTGCCTTGAGGTGTAAGTGGAGTGCTTACCACCTTGCTTGATCTCATCCCAAACTTGTCTATAAGTTTGTTAGCATACTTTTCTTGAGAAAGAAATATGCCGTGATCATCTTGGATTACTTCAAAACCGAGAAAGTAACTTAGCAATCCAAGATCCGTCATCTCGAACTCTCTCTTCATGTTTTCCTTGAATGTATTAACGAGATGAATGTTGCTTCCTGTGATGATGATGTCGTCTACGTAAAGGCTTACGATCAAAAAATCTCTTCCTTGCTTCATAGTATACAGCGCTGCATCGTTCATACTTCTCTTAAAACCGTTTTGAAGAAGGTATGAATCGATTCTTCCATACTAAGCCCGAGGAGCTTGCTTGAGACCGTATAAGGCTTTGTGAAGCCTTAACACCTTCTCTTCCTTTCCTTCAATCACGAACCCAGGTGGTTGTGTGACATAGACCTCTTCTTTTAATTCTCCATTTAGAAAGGCTGACTTGATATCCATTTGGTATAGCTTCCACTTCCTTTGAGCCGCGTATGCAAATATAGCTCTTATGGTGTCGTGCCTTGAGACTGGAGCAAAAGTCTCTTGGTAGTCAACTCCATGTTCTTGAGAGAAACCACGAGTAACCAATCTTGCCTTGTATTTGATTGGCTCTCCATTTGCACCCGTCTTTATCTTGTAGTTCCACTTCACACTGATTACGTTCTTCTTCTCTGGTTTATCTACAAGTTTCCAAGTGTTGTTTCTCTCGATCATCGATATCTCTTCGATCATGGCTCTCCTCCATTCCTCGATCTCAACTGCTTGATGATAGTTTTGCGGTTCTTTTTGTGCAAGAAGACAGGCTTCTATGACTTGAGCCGCTTCCTCTAGATTCACCCTCGGTGCGATTTCCATGATTTCAGTCATCGATCTTAATTTCTTTGGAGTGATGAAGTCTCCTCCATCTTCTTCTCTGGTATTTTGAGACCTTTCGGGTGAGATTTGCAGATTGTTGAAAGCATTACTCACTGTAAAGAAAACACCGATAGTGCCAAGCACTAGCCCAAGACCGTAATACCCGAGAGATCCGAAAGAAACAAAGACCCTCTAAGTATGAATAATAAGATGAAAGAATACTTAGAGAAAACTTGAAGGAACTTTAGAGAGAATAAGAGAACTTATGAAGAACACTCTTTCTTTATTTGTTCAACTTCTCTTGTTTACAAATGATGGAGTAGTGGGCTATTTATAGGCTCCACTTATTACAAAATATCTTACAAACATTCTCCTAATCTCTAGAATTTTCTACAATAATATCTAGAATTTTAACTACAACATCTAGAATTATCTATAGAATTATCTAGATATTTAACTAATAGAATTCTCTAGAATATTTAAGAAAGATGATGATTTTTAGTGATGTTTCTAGAGATTCTAGAACTTGAGCTTAATTTTGGGCCTAATCTAATAACTAATAATTATTTTATAAACCCAAAATTAAGCTTAACCTAAAATCAAGTTTAACTTCAATACTCCCCTTTAAACTTGATTTTGTCAGTCATCCCGAGCTTCGAGCGAAGTAACTCGAACTGACCTTTTGGTAATGACTTGGTGAAGATATCCGCAACGTTGTCCTCGCTTCGAACTTCCAAAGCTTCAATTGTCCCATCAAGCACCTTCTCTTTTATGAAGTGATGCTCTAACTCAATGTGTTTAGTCCTCCCATGGAACACCGGATTATTAGCCAGCTTGATCGCACTTTGATTATCTCCATAAATTGCAATTGGCTTATTGATTGGCTCGAACAGATCTTCAAGGAGTCTCTGAAGCCAAATACACTCTTGAGCTGCTAGAGTTGACGCTTTATACTCTGCTTCAGTTGTAGATAACGACACCGTTGCTTGCTTCTTACTGCACCATGAGACACTTGTGTTCCCACATAGGAAAACATAGCCTGAAGTTGATTTCCGATCATCAAGATCTCCACCAAAGTCAGCATCCGTGAAGCCATAAAGAGAGACCTTGGCATTATACTTGTACACCAGACCCATGCCAAGAGTTGTCTTCACATACTTCAATATCTTCTTTGCCGCTTCTAGATGTGGCTTCCTTGGTGCCTGCATAAACCGACTTACAAGACCTACCGCGAAGGCAATGTCAGGTCTTGTAATGGTTAAGTATAAAAGACTTCCTACAAGAGAGCGATAAGGCCGAGGATCAGGTAGTAAGGACCCTTCATCGCGTTTAAGCTTTATGTTGACATCCATTGGAGTAGAGCGTGTCTTTCCTTCGTGTACTCCAAACTTCTCAACGATTCTTCTTGCATAGCTTTGTTGGCCGATGAATATTCCACCCTTTACCCTTTCCACCTCCAAACCGAGAAAGTTGTTGAGCTCTCCCAACTTCTTCATCTCAAACCTTATCGACATATCCTCTTGTAAACGAGTAATTTCTGCATCATCATTCCCGGTAATTATCATATCATCCACGTAAAGGAGAACTACCACGTGGACTCCTCCATTCTTCTTGAAGAATAGACTCGGATCAGAGTTTGATGCCACATAACCGCAGAACTGAAGAAACTGAGCAAGCTTTCCATACCAGGCTCGTGGAGCTTGTTTTAACCCATACAAGGCCTTCTTCAGCTTACACACATAATCAGGATGCTCTCGTGATATAAAACCAAGTGGCTGCTCCATCAGGATTTCCTTGTCAAGCTCTCCATATAGAAAAGCATTCTTCACGTCTAATTGCCATAACTTCCAACCAAAACTTGCAGCCAAAGATAAGAGAGAACGTACCGTAGTCATCTTGGCTACAGGGCTGAAGGTCTCATCATAGTCTTCTCCATACTTTTGAGAGAATCCCCGAGCAACCAACCTTGCTTTGAATCTATCAACGCTTCCATCTGTTTTGCGCTTGATCCGGTACACCCATTTACAAGAAACAGGTTGGGCATTCTTGGGTTTTGGAACCAAATCCCAAGTTTCGTTCTTCATGAGAGCATTCATCTCCTCCTTCATTGCGTTTTCCCACTCGTCAACACCTTTTGCTTCATCATAAGATGTTGGCTCATCTTCATCTAATGGAGCTGCAAAGTAGCACGAGAAGGTAGTAGCAAACTTTGGATCTCTGAACCGAGCAGGTTTAATGATGTCCCTTTTAGGCCTTTGACTAGCCGTGGAACCATGATGTTCCTCCTCATCCTCCTCTTGATCAGTGCTCCCCCTTTCACCTTGCATCTCTTCTTCAGGACCTTTTTCCTTACTCAGAGCTGGTTTATCACTCTTGGAGGAACTCCCACCTTCTTGCTCAACTAAAACTTGAGGTGGCCCATAGAATGAGGAAACTTCATCAAAAACAACATCTCGAGACACTACGTACCTGTGTGTCTCTGGATCCATACACCTCCACCCTTTTCTTTGTTCGTCATAGCCAACGAAGATGCACTTCTTCGCCTTTGCCTCCAACTTGGTTCTTTGAGAATCAAACACATGGACGTAGCAGACTGATCCAAATATCCTGAGATGTTTCACTGACGGCTTCTTCCCATGAATCATCTCATACGGAGACTTCATGTTATTTGGGCTGAGTGGCATCCGATTTATGACGTACACTGCGCATCTCATGCCTTCCGCCCACAAGGCTTTAGGCAGATCCTTCCCATATAGCCAGCTTCTGCACGTCTCAGTTAGATGTCGAATCTTCCTTTCCGCTACTCCATTTTGTTGAGGTGTATACG